CAGATCAGGGCGACGGGATGCACCTGGCCGCCACTGATAAGGACACGCCTCCAAATCAGTGCCTCCACCAATCACCTGACGAGTGAGGGTGTGGTCTGCCGCTCCCTCACAGACACCGAAAGTGTTGTCGAAGTTTTCAGCTTGTCCAAGGAAGGGTGGAAGTAAAAGACTGGAGACCAACTGGACGTCTTAAAGGTTGTATGGAGGATTTTTTTTTTTTTTTTTCAAATTGTCGATGAAAGTTCAAAATAAAATTATAGAGATGCAGCAGCCTTGTAATTATGATGACCAAAAAAAAAAAAAAAAAGAATGAAAATCCATCAACTGTGGACATGGTGGGGGCAGATAAACATCAGCCAATACAAAATAAGGCCACCTCTTTATCTACTGGCTGCTGGGTTGTCAGTCAAACTCCCTATGTTTCTAGCGTCACTGACTTGCCGGTGCGCTGGGATTACGTGGTTTACGTTCGCCTCTCACGCACTGATGCTGTTTACTCAACCAACACAGCGGTTCTTAGCGTCTTTTTCGAACTGTAGCTTCGTCTCACACAAAGTTTTGCACAAAGTTTGCTGTAATGGGAGACAAGAATTCACGACCAGTTCGCCACAAAAGAAAGTCTGTTTTTGACGTCTCTGAAAGAAGAGGAGAAGGGGAAGAGGAGCGAAGCGTGACATTTGAAAATGGACAAACAGTCGCTGCATTTCTCTTTCCTTGGAAAATCTTCTATACAACCTTTAAGCAGGAGAAGTTTATTTCCTGTCAATAAAACAGCCGTGAACATAGTGTGATTTCAAAAATGAAAATAGTCTGATCTTTGAGTGTTCAAGCCCTTTGTCTATACTTCCAAAGGAGGAGGTTTATAAAGTGAGTGTGCTGAGACTCTGAAGACCAATAGGCACCAGTTGGACAGAAATATGCCACAGTTTAAATCAGGAGTGTCAAACATACGGCCCAGGGGCCAGATCCGGCCCTCCAAGACCTTTAATCTGACCCTCAGCTGATTTTCTACTGAGATATTATATTTATATTATATTTTCTATTGAAATCTTGTTAATTTTCTGTGGTGTTTATCACAGCAGCGTCTCCAGCGTCTCTGTACGTGGCCCCTCCCACCAGAGCAGCACAAATGAAGACTTGTCTCTTTCCAAACGCTCTTAAAGGACGATCGTTTTGACTGTTGACCGTGACACCCTCATCAGAAAAATGTCCAACATGAGAAAAGTGGAGCCGAGTGCAGAATTTTACAACAAAAATAAACTTCCCTGCACTCTCATATTTATATTCTTTTCCTTGGTTGGCAGCACTTCAGCTTTTTTATTTTTCAATATTCTGCCATTCCCACACACAAGGTAATTATTAAGTTGTGGCAGTGATCTTATCTTATTTTCATGGACCGGCTGTGTGACAGACGCGGCCTGTGTGGTTTAGTCCTGGTTTAGTCCTGGTTTAGTCCTGGTTAAATCCTGGTTAAATCCTGGTTTACACCTGGTTTTAGTTCTGGTTTAGACCTAGTTTAGACCTGATTTAGTCCCGGTTTTAGATCTGGTTTAGACCTAGTTTAGACCTGATTTAGTCCCGGTTTTAGGTCTGGTTTAGACCTAGTTTAGACCTGATTTAGTCCCGGTTTTACTTCTGGTTTAGACCTAGTTTAGACCTGATTTAGTCCCGGTTTTAGTTCTGGTTTAGACCTAGTTTAGACCTGATTTAGTCCTGGTTTTAGGTCTGGTTTAGACCTAGTTTAGATCTGATTTAGTCCGGTTTTAGGTCTGGTTTAGACCTGGTTTAGACCTGATTTAGTCCCGGTTTAGGTCTGGTTTAGACCTGGTTTAGACCTGATTTAGTCCCGGTTTTAGGTCTGGTTTAGACCTAATTTAGACCTGATTTAGTCCTGGTTTTAGTTCTGGTTTAGACCTAGTTTAGACCTGATTTAGTCCGGTTTTAGGTCTGGTTTAGACCTGGTTTAGACCTGATTTAGTCCCGGTTTTAGGTCTGGTTTAGACCTGGTTTAGACCTGATTTAGTCCCGGTTTTAGGTCTGGTTTAGACCTGGTTTAGACCTGATTTAGTCCCGGTTTTAGTTCTGGTTTAGACCTAGTTTAGACCTGATTTAGTCCTGGTTTTAGTTCTGGTTTAGACCTAGTTTAGACCTGATTTAGTCCCGGTTTTAGGTCTGGTTTAGACCTAGTTTAGACCTGATTAGTCCCGGTTTTAGGTCTGGTTTAGACCTAGTTTAGACCTGATTTAGTCCCGGTTTTAGGTCTGGTTTAGACCTAGTTTAGACCTGATTTAGTCCCGGTTTTAGGTCTGGTTTAGACCTGATTTAGTCCCGGTTTTAGGTCTGGTTTAGACCTAGTTTAGACCTGATTTAGTCCCGGTTTTAGGTCTGGTTTTGACCTGGTTTAGACCTGATTTAATCCTGGTTTTAGATCTGGTTTAGACCTGGTTTAGACCTGATTTAGTCCCGGTTTTAGGTCTGGTTTAGACCTAATTTAGACCTGATTTAGTCCTGGTTTTAGTTCTGGTTTAGACCTAGTTTAGACCTGATTTAGTCCCGGTTTTAGTTCTGGTTTAGACCTAGTTTAGACCTGATTTAGTCCCGGTTTTAGTTCTGGTTTAGACCTAGTTTAGACCTGATTTAGTCCCGGTTTTAGGTCTGGTTTAGACCTAGTTTAGACCTGATTTAGTCCCGGTTTTAGGTCTGGTTTAGACCTAGTTTAGACCTGATTTAGTCCCGGTTTTAGTCTGACCTAGTTTAGACCTGATTTAATCCTGGTTTTAGATCTGGTTTAGACCTGGTTTAGACCTGATTTAGTCCGGTTTTAGGTCTGGTTTAGACCTAATTTAGACCTGATTTAGTCCTGGTTTTAGTTCTGGTTTAGACCTAGTTTAGACCTGATTTAGTCCCGGTTTTAGTTCTGGTTTAGACCTAGTTTAGACCTGATTTAGTCCTGGTTTTAGGTCTGGTTTAGACCTAGTTTAGACCTGATTTAGTCCTGGTTTTAGGTCTGGTTTAGACCTAGTTTAGACCTGATTTAGTCCCGGTTTTAGTTCTGGTTTAGACCTAGTTTAGACCTGATTTAGTCCTGGTTTTAGTTCTGGTTTAGACCTAGTTTAGACCTGATTTAGTCCCGGTTTTAGGTCTGGTTTAGACCTAGTTTAGACCTGATTTAGTCCCGGTTTTAGGTCTGGTTTAGACCTAGTTTAGATCTGATTTAGTCCCGGTTTTAGTTCTGGTTTAGACCTAGTTTAGACCTGATTTAGTCCCGGTTTTAGGTCTGGTTTAGACCTAGTTTAGACCTGATTTAGTCCCGGTTTTAGGTCTGGTTTAGACCTAGTTTAGACCTGATTTAGTCCCAGTTTTAGGTCTGGTTTAGACCTAGTTTAGACCTGATTTAGTCCCGGTTTTAGTTCTGATTTAGACCTAGTTTAGACCTGATTTAGTCCCGGTTTTAGGTCTGGTTTAGACCTAGTTTAGACCTGATTTAGTCCCAGTTTTAGGTCTGGTTTAGACCTAGTTTAGACCTGATTTAGTTTCGGTTTTAGTTCTGGTTTAGACCTAGTTTAGACCTGATTTAGTCCCGGTTTTAGTTCTGGTTTAGACCTAGTTTAGACCTGATTTAGTCCCGGTTTTAGGTCTGGTTTAGACCTAGTTTAGACCTGATTTAGTCCCGGTTTTAGGTCTGGTTTAGACCTAGTTTAGACCTGATTTAGTCCCGGTTTTAGGTCTGGTTTAGACCTAGTTTTAGACCTGATTTAGTCCCGGTTTTAGGTCTGGTTTAGACCTAGTTTAGACCTGATTTAGTCCCGGTTTTACTGGTTTGGACCTGGTTTAGACCTGATTTAGTCCTGGTTTTAGGTCTGGTTTAGACCTGGTTTAGACCTGATTTAGTCCCGGTTTTAGGTCTGGTTTAGACCTGGTTTAGACCTGATTTAGTCCCGGTTTTAGGTCTGGTTTAGACCTGGTTTAGACCTGATTTAGTCCCGGTTTTAGGTCTGGTTTAGACCTAATTTAGACCTGATTTAGTCCTGGTTTTAGTTCTGGTTTAGACCTAGTTTAGACCTGATTTAGTCCCGGTTTTAGTCTGGTTTAGACCTGATTTAGTCCGGTTTTAGGTCTGGTTTAGACCTGGTTTAGACCTGATTTAGTCCCGGTTTTAGGTCTGGTTTAGACCTGTTTAGACCTGATTTAGTCCTGGTTTTAGGTCTGGTTTAGACCTAGTTTAGACCTGATTTAGTCCTGGTTTTAGTCTGGTTTAGACCTAGTTTAGACCTGATTTAGTCCCGGTTTTAGGTCTGGTTTAGACCTAGTTTAGACCTGATTTAGTCCCGGTTTTAGGTCTGGTTTAGACCTAGTTTAGACCTGATTTAGTCCCGGTTTTAGTTCTGGTTTAGACCTAGTTTAGACCTGATTTAGTCCCGGTTTTAGGTCTGGTTTAGACCTAGTTTAGACCTGATTTAGTCCCGGTTTTAGGTCTGGTTTAGACCTAGTTTAGACCTGATTTAGTCCCGGTTTTAGTTCTGGTTTAGACCTAGTTTAGACCTGATTTAGTCCGGTTTTAGTCTGGTTTAGACCTAGTTTAGACCTGATTTAGACCTGTTTAGTTTAGACCTGTTTAGACCTTTTAGTGGTTTTAGGTCTGGTTTAGACCTAGTTTAGACCTGATTTAGTCCCGGTTTTACGGTCTGGTTTAGAGGCAGTGTATATGGGGCAAAAAAAGGTGACGCTCCAAACTATGAGTAGGTTGTCAGAACGGCGGCATCAAAAAGTGTCGGGATGGAGGTTTGTTGGAATAACGGAATGTTGGGGTGGCGTCTGTCGGAATAAGGGTTGTACTTCCTGAGATGTACTTGGAGGGTAAATTACTTCTTAAATCCTCTTCCACTGAGTGTTCGATCTATCGAGACACAGGGAGAACATTAGTAATCCTCCGTCTTTAAAGTTCACCTGAGTCCATTTTGACTAATAAATGTCTTTTAAACCCCCGTCTTGTGTTGCAGGAGCACTTCTCCGAGGACTGTCAGTTCCGTGAGCGTTTCCAGGAGAACAGTTACAACACGTACGCGTCGGTGGCTCACGGGGCCCCGCGCTCCGGACGACAGTGGTACGTGGCCCTCAACAAGCGCGGCAAGGCCAAGATGGGCTCCAGTCCCCGGGTCCGCTCCCAGCACGTGTCTACGCACTTCCTGCCCCGCGGAGGCCTGAGCGGGCACGGAGGTCTGGGCTTCACCATCGCCCAGGAGCAGGGGCAGGGGCAGGGGCAGGGGCAGGGGCAGGGGCAGGGGCAGGGGCAGGGGCAGGGGCAGGGGCAGGGGCAGGGCAGGGCAGGGCAGGGGCAGGGGCAGGACAGGAGCGCCGGCAGGACCAAAGGGCTCTCGAGGGGCTCCCTGAAGGAGGCTGCAGCGAGCGTCAACGCGCCGGTGAAAAGGACAGTGAAATACTGGCCCAAGTATCGCTTCGGATAACAGGATTACTCAGACTTTGAGGCGACGTTGGAGCGATCGAGACTGAGGAGAAGCGCCGAGGTCGTTCCTGGATCCTGGAGGAGCTGAAGGGAGTTTTGACGAGAGCAGAGTCGGAGTCGGGAGACGCCTTCAAACGTGAGTTTAAACCACAGTTTAAAACCACAGCCAAAGTTTACATGAGAGCTTTAATTCTGAATAAAAATAATTTTAATTCTGAATAAAAATAATTTTAAATTCTGAATAAAATAAATCCCACTTTAAAAAAGACCATGTAAAGACTCAACTCCTGATTATTCGGAATTAAACTTAATCCGTGTGTTTTCAATGAAAAAAACAACAAAAAAAGAAAATGAAAAAAAAAAAAAAATTATGTCTTTATTATTTGTCTCCAAAACCAAAATGAAAAAACAGATAATGATTTTTTTTTTTTTTTTTTTTTTTTTTTAATCTTTTTCCAGTTTTTGATTTTGAACCAGGACTGAACCGTTTCAGTCCCGATCTTGTCCCAGTCTCAGTCCTGGTCCTGTTCCCACTGTGGTCCGGTCTAAGTCCTGGTCTCAGTCCCAGTCTGGATCTAGTCCGGTTCCTGGACCTGTTTTAGTCCTTCAGTCCCGGTTTAGTACCGGTTTAGTCCTGGTTTAGTCCTGCTTTAGACCTGGTTTAGACCCGGTTTAGTTCTGTTTTAGTCCTGGTTTAGTCCTGTTTTAGACCCGGTTTAGTCAGGACAGAACCAGGACTAAACCAGGACTGAACCAGGACTAAACCGTTTTCAGTCCTAGTCTGGTCCCAGTCTCAGTCCTGGTCCCAGTCCTGGTCTGGTCCCGGTCTGGTCCCGGTTTGGTCCCGGTCTCAGTCCCGGTTTTGATCCTGGTCTGGTCCTGGTCTCAATCCTGGTCTCAATTTTGATCTCAGTCCGGGTCCTGGTCCCTGGACCTGTTTTAGTCCTGGTTTAGTCCTGGTTCAGGCCGTAATCCGTTTTTTTTTTCCCATTTTTTCATTTAAACACAAAATCGAAAACTGAAAAAACGAATCATTTTCTGTTTTTTCATTTTGGTTTTGGAGACAAATAATGAAGAAAACAGTTGTTTTTTCGTTTTCTTATTTTTGGTTTTATTTTGAAAAACAAATGAACGAACGACACGCGGATTCTTTACCTCTAATATTCCAAAGTGTGGCATTAAAATCGCCATAGAAACAAGCAGGAGGTGAGATCTGTGGAGCGGCGAGCCCACTCACACACTCACAGTCAGAATGTGCGTTTTTAAAGGCGTTTTTGACAATTTAAAGGTTGTATAGAGGATTTTCCAAGGAAGGAGAAATCCAGCGACTGTTTGTCCTTTTTCAAATGTTGCTCCTGCGTGAAACCACCTCCCCTCCCCCCACAGCTCCTACGTAGAAACACCTCCTCCCTCCTCCTCCTTACGCCAGAAACAGGTTTGTTTACAGCCGCTGCACATGACTTGTAAACAACTAACTACAGTGTTGGTTAGACAAGACGGAGAAGTGAGGAGCAGGGGGAAGAGTGGATCGGGCAGCGGGGACAGGAGCAGGAAAGGGGTGCAGAGAAGAGTGTGCGCGGAGATTCAGTGCGAATGAACTAACTACAACACGCAGCAGCAAGCGGACTCTTTCTTTGCCTTGAAAATTACGTTTTCAGACATAGGATATCGCATTCGTGTCCTGAAAAACGTTTGTCTAACTCTTGGAAATAAAGTACGTTTTCATAATAAGCAGAAGTTTCCTGTCCAGGAGTAATTTGTGGACCAGTGGTTCAGTCTTTAGACCCTTCGTCTGCTTCAGTCGCGCCATCGCTGGAATGAATCTTCAAGAATCACCTTAGTTTGGCTTCGCTGCTTTTCCCCTTGTCTTTCTTCTTTCAGCGACCTCAAAAACGGACTTTCTTTTGCGGCGAACTGCTCCTGGATTCTTGTCGCCATCGCAACAAACTTTGTGCGAACTGCGAGGAAGATATAGGTCAAAAAAAGCCGCTAAGAACTGTTGCGTTGGTGGAGTAAACAGCGTCTGTGCGTCTTGCGTCTGTGGACTGTGTGACAGTCGTACGTAAACCACGTACCGGCGGCGCAGGCAAGTCAGTTACACTAGAAACGTAGGGAGTTTGATTGACAGCCTGTCAGCTCACAGATAACGAGGCAGTGTCGTTATCTATTGGCAAATGTTTAGCCCCACCACGTCCAGAGTTGATGAATTTTTATTCTCTTTTTTTTGGTCATCATAATTACAAGGCGACTGCATCTATAATCTATCACTGACAATTTGAAACAAAAAACAAACAAAAAAAATCCTCCATACAACCTTTAAAACACCCACAGTCCAATAAGTGCGTCTTTAGTTTAAGCGTTTCCACGGTAACGGGCCCCCAGCCTGGAAAGTTACGCAGTGCGGCTTTAAGGACCCTGACTCGTCTAACTGAGTGTGTGTTTTTTTTTTTTGTTTTGTTTTTTTTTCCGTTCAGGAGTTGTGGAGCGAGCGTCTCTCTGAGCCTCGGATCTGTGACTCCGACGACGACGCCGACGAAAACATCAAACTCTGAAGAACTGCACTCTGAGATTTACTGACGGAGGAGAGAGAGAAAGAAAGAAAGAAAGAAAGAGTGTGAAGAGTGAATGAGAGAACAAAAGAGAGAAAGAGAACGAAACGGGAGAGGAGAAGAGAGGAGATGAAGCGAGTGTCAGGAATGAATGAAGGAATGAGAGCGATGAGAAGAGAGAGAAGAGAAAGAGTGTGAGGAGTGAACGAGAGAGAAAGAAAGAGAGCGAGGAGAGGAGGGGGAAGAGGGGAGGAGAGAAAAAGGGAGAGAGAGAGAGTGTGAGGAGAGAGAAAGAAAGGGAGAAAGAGAACAAAACGGGAGAGGAGAAGAGAAGGAGTGAAGCGAGTGTGAGAAGTGAATGAGAGAATGAAAGAGAGTGAGGAGAAGAGAGAGATGAAGAGAAAGAAAGAAAGAGGGAGAGAGAGAGAGAGTGTGAGGAGTGAATGAGTGAACGAAAGAGAGCGATGAGGAGAGAGAAAGAGAACGAATCAGGAGAGGAGAAGAGAGAGAAGAAGAAGTGAGGGAGAGGAGTGAATGAGAGAATGAAAAAGAGTGATGAGAGAGAGAGAAGAGGAGGGGAGGAGAGAAAAAAGAGGGAGAGAGAAAGAGTGTGAGGAGTGAACGAGAGAACGAAAGAGAGCGATGAGGAGAAAGAAAGAAAGAAAGGGAGAAAGAGAACGAACCAGGAGAGGAGAAGAGAAAGAATGAAGAGAGTGTGAGGGATGAGTGAGTGAACGAAAGAGGAGAGAAAAGGAGAGAAAGAAAAGGGAGAGAGAAAGAGTGTGAGGAGTGAACGAGAGAAAACGAAAGAGCGTGAGGAGAAGAGAGAGAAAAGGGGAGGAGAAAAAGAAAGAGCAACGGGAGAGAGAGAAAGAAAGGAAGAAAGAGAACGAAACAGGAGAAGAGAAGAGAGTGAATGAGAGGAAAAAAGAGAGGTGGAGATTGAGGCAAAGAGTGAGGGAGAAGAGAGAGAGAGAGTGTGTTGTGTGAATGAGAGAAAAGAAAGAGAGCGATGGGGAGAGAGAGAAAGCTGGACAGGAGAGGAGAAGAGAGAGAGGAGTGAAAGAGAGTGATCGAGAGAGAGAGAAAGAAATGGAGAAAGAGAGATAGACAAGAGGAGAAGAGAGCGAGGGGATGGAGCGAGTGCGGGAGTGAATGAGAGGAAAAAAGAGGGAGGGAAAGAGTGAGGGAGAGAGGGAGAGGAGAGAGAGAGAGTGTGAGGATGAATGAGAGGGAAAAGAGAGGGGAAGAGAGGAGAAAGAGAGTGTGTGTTGTAAATGAGAGAAAAAGAGAGAAAAGAGAAGAGAGCGAGTGTGAGGGATGAACGAGAAAAAGAAAGCGAGAAGGAGGGGAAGAGAGAGGGAGATAAAAGAGGAGAGGAGGAGCTAGACAGGGAGGAGAGAGAGAGAGAGAGAGTGAGGGGTGAATGAGAGAAAGAAAGAAAGAGAGCGATGGGGCGAGAGAAAGGGAGAAAAAGAGAGTGAAAGAGAGCACTAGACAGGGAGAAGAAGAGAGAGAGAGAGATGAAGGGATGAATGAGAGAGAGTGGGAGAGCCAGACTGAGAAGAGAGAGAGAGAGTGAGTGAGTGAGTGAGGGATGAGTGTCAGACAGGAGAGGAGAGAGAGAGAGAGAGAGAGGGATGAATGACACGAGAGAAAGCGCGCTGGACGAGGAGAGGAAAGAGTGAAGGATGAAGGAGAGAAAGAGAGCGTGAAAGAGAAATGGAGAGGAGAGAGAATGAAAGAGAGAGGGATGAATGAGAGAATGAGAGAGAGCGAGACAGGCAGAATATAGAGAGAGAGAGGGATGGAGTGTCAAGGATGAATGAAAGAAAGAGAAAAAGAGAAAGAAATAGAGGTAGAAATCACAGAATGAACAGATAAACTCCTCTTCCCTTCGTGGTCTCTGAAGTGAGTATTTGGCGCCCTCGTATGGACAGCTCTGGTACTGCAGGAGGATCCGGCTCCAAAAAGAGATTCTATTTGCAATGTTTGTTTTGTTTTTTTTTACTTTTAAGTATTTATCTGTGGATATACGATGTTTTATGGACTTTTTGTGGAATTTTTAAAGTATTTTCAAAGCATGCAGTAAATAATAACAGTGTGAAACTCACTACGTTCATGTGCACGTCGAGAAAACCGCAGAACTGTTCTGGTCCGATTTAAACTTAAAAATTTATCAAAATGTACAGTTTTTATGATTATGATTAAGGCGACTTGAATTAAATCTCCCAGATTCTAAAAACACATGTGGAGAAGCTGATACGTCTGTTTTTTTTTTCCATTATTCATTTAAACACAAAATCAAAAACTGAAAAAAACAAATCATTATCTTTTTTTTTTTCATTTTGGTTTTGGAGACAAATAATGAAGAAAATAGTTTTGTTGTTTTTTTTCTTTTCTTTTTCTTATTTTTGGTTTTATTTTGAAAAATGAATGATACATGGATTTAATTCAGTTTTTTTGTCCAGTACAAACGTAAAAACATGGGAGAAAAAAATATGTAAAAACTGTGACAAAGGTGTGTTTTTATTTTGCTGTTTGAGCCGTGATGAGCTTCGTTTGACTGGAGCCGAACTGTGGGTTTTATTGGGTTTTTTTTATTTATTTTTTTTATGAATTATAGCTGCAACATTTGAATTCCTATGAGCACCTGAACGCCTCGTAGCTCCTGTTCTGTTTTCTGTGCAGGTGAACGTAATGACCGTGTGATCTTCAATAATTTAATCATTAATCAGTAATTAAATAAAAATTATTTTTATACTGAACACAAATAAAAACTGAAGTACAAACTCAGTGTGTGGTGTAAAATGTTGTAAAAATAACAGAAGAGAAATGTTCAGACTGTTGTTTATTTATTTATTGGTGTCATTTACAGGATCGTTTTTAAGTCCTGGTCTTGGTACTGGTATAAACCGGGTTTGGTCCTGATACAGTGTTTAGTTAAACCCAAGTACTGGTTCACCTCTGGTTTAATCCTGGTTTAGTCCCGGTTTAGTCCTGGTTCAGTTCTGCTGCATAGTCCTAAGGTCCTGGTTTAGTCCTCGTTTATTCCTGGTTTTGTCTTGGTTTAGTCCTGGTTTGGTCCTTAGTTTAGTCCTGGATTAGCCCTGGATTAGTCCTGGTTTAGTCCTGGTTTAGTCCTGGTTTAGTCCTGGTTTAGTCCTGGTTTAGTCCTGGTTTAGTCCTGGTTTAGTCTTGGTTTAGTCCTGGTTTGGTTTAGTCTGGTTTAGTCCTTAGTTTAGTCCTGGTTTATTAGTCCCTGGTTTTTAGTCAGTCTTGGTTTAGTCAGTCTGGTTTAGTCTTGGTTTAGTCCTGGTTTAGTCCTGGTTTAGTCCTGGTTTAGTCCTTAGTCCTGGTTTAGTCTTGGTTTAGTCTGGTTTAGTCCTGGTTTAGTCCTGGTTTAGTCTGGTTTAGTCTTGGTTTTAGTCAGTCTTGGTTTAGTCAGTCTTGGTTTAGTCCTGGTTTAGTCTTGGTTTAGTCCTGGTTTAGTCTGGTTTAGTCCTGGTTTAGTCCTGGTTTAGTCTGGTTTAGTCCTGGTTTAGTCTTGGTTTAGTCTTGGTTTAGTCCTGGTTTAGTCCTTGGTTTAGTCTTGGTTTAGTCCTGGTTTTTAGTCTTGGTTTCAGTCCTCCTGGTTTAGTTTAGTCCTGGTTTAGTCCTCCTGGTTTAGTCTTGGTTTAGTCCTGGTTTAGTCAGTCTTGGTTCAGTCCTGGTTTAGTCTTGTTTAGTCTTGGTTTAGTCTTGGTTTAGTCTTGGTTTAGTCTTGGTTTAGTCTTGGTTCAGTCTTGGTTCAGTCTTGGTTTAGTCCTGGTTTAGTCCTGGTTTAGTTCTGCGATGGTCTGGTTGCTGTAGGTGGAGGTCCAGAAGGAGACGTACTCGGCTCTGAGGTCGTAGCTGTGGGACAGAATCAAACATGAATCAAATGTTTATAATAAAAACAGCTTTAGTTTTAGTTTTACATCAGTTTAATGTCAGTTTGTGGAACTAAAGTTGAGAAAATATTACATCTTTAATATAAAGACCTCGACTAAACCGTCTCACACCACTGATCTGTGGAAGCATCAGATTTAATAATAATAATAATAATAATAATAATAATAATAATAATAATCATGCATCAGTTTTATACAGAGCTTTTCTGGACACTCAAAGACGTTTTACAGATCATTATTCAGTCACTCCAGACCCAGTGATGTAAAATACTCCTGTAGCCACATCTGCCCTGAGACAGACTGACGGAAGCGAGGCTGCCAATCTGCTCCATCAGTCCCTCTGACCACCATCACTTACACACACACCACTTTCATACTAGGCAATGAGGGTGAAGTGTCTTGCCTAAGGACACAACAACATAACATTTTACAACTACCGCCTCCTGTGGCTCCTGATTTTCCCAGTGTCTTTGTCCAAATCCTGACCAGGACCGACCTTCGCTGAGCTTCTGGGACCTGACGGGATCAGACTTTGACAGACCGATGAGGCCAGACTTGAGAACTACACGTGACCAGTGTGGGGCGGCTCTGGCTGGAAGTGATCGGGACCCGTCGGGGCGTTCAAATACAAGCCGAAAAGTCAAACTTCTCTTACGTCCAGCTGAGAGAAAAGCAAAGACCCCTTCCCCGTCTACAGGTATATTCAGCTCTGCCTTCTGCCCTGTGATTGGTCAGTCTCCACATGACTGGTGGAGGTCACTTCAGCCGGAGCCTCATCACATGGAGGCTGAAGAAATCGTGAACTCGTGAATTCTCAAGAATTGCTGACAAATGAGCCAACTAAGCTTTCACATGCACTTTAACTTGCAAGAACATCTGAGTGTAAAGTGTAGAGTGTAAAGTGTTCGGTGTACAGTGTAAAGTAAAGAGTGTAAAGTGTAGTGTAAAATGTAGAGTATAAAGTGTAGAGAGTAAAGTGTAGAGAGTAAAGTGTAGAGTGTAAAGTGTAGAGAGTAAAGTGTAGAGTGTAAAGTGTAGAGTGTAAGAGTGTAGAGTGTGTAAAAGAGTGTAGAGAGTGTAAAGTGTAAAGAGAGTGTAGAGAGTAAAGTAAGAGTGTAGAGAGTGTAAAGTGTAGAGTAAAGTGTAGAGTGTAAAGTGTAGAGAGTAAAGTGTAGAGTGTAAAGTGCAGAGTGTAGAGTGTAGAGAGTAAAGTGTAGAGTGTAAAGTGTAGAGAGTGTAAGAGTGTAAAGTGAGAGTGTAAAGTGTAGAGTGTAAAGTGTAGAGTAAAGTGTAGAGAGTAAAAGAGTGTAGAGTGTAAAGTGTAGAGAGTGTAAGAGTGTAGAGAGTGTAAGAGTGTAGCAGAGTAAAGTGTAGAGAGTAAAGTGTAGAGTAAAGTGTAGAGTGTAAAGTGTAGTGTAGAGTAAAGTGTAGAGTGTAAAGTGTAGAGTGTAAAGTGTAGAGAGTAAAGTGTAGAGTGTAAAGTGTAGAGTGTAAAGTGTAGAGTGTAAAGTGTAGAGTGTAAAGTGCAGAGTGTAGAGAGTAAAGTGTAGAGTGTAAAGTGTAAGAGTGTAGAGAGTAAAGTGTAGAGTGTAGAGTAAAGTGTAGAGTGTAAAGTGTAGAGTGTAAAGTGTAGAGTGTAAAGTGTAAAGTGTAGAGTGTAAAGTGTAGAGTGTAAAGTGCAGAGTGTAGAGAGTAAAGTGTAGAGTGTAAAAGTGTAAAGTGTAGAGTGTAAAGTGTAGAGTGTAGAGTAAAGTGTAGAGAGTAAAGTGTAGAGTGTAAAGTGCAGAGTGTAGAGAGTAAAGTGTAGAGAGTAGAGTGTAGAGTGTAAAGTGTAGAGTGTAAAGTGCAGAGTGTAGAGAGTAAAGTGTAGAGAGTAGAGTGTAAGAGTGTAGAGTAAAAGTGTAGAGTAAAGTGTAGAGTAAAGTGTAGAGTAAAGTGTAGAGTAAAGTGTAGAGAGTAAAGTGTAGAGTGTAAAGTGTAGAGTAAAGTGTAGAGTGTAAAGCAGAGTGTAGAGTGTAAGAGTGTAAAGTGTAGAGTGTAGAGTAGAGAGTAAGAGTGTAAGAGTGTAGAGAGTGTAAAGTGTAGAGTGTAAAGTGTAGAGTGTAAAGTGCAGAGTGTAGAGAGTGTAGAGTGTAAAGTGTAGAGTGTAAAGTGTAGAGTGTAAAGTGCAGAGTGTAGAGTGTAAAGTGTAGAGTGTAAAGTGTAGAGTGTAAAGTGTAGAGTGTAAAGTGTAGAGTGTAGAGTGTAAAGTGTAGTGTAGAGTGTAAAGTGTAGAGTGTAAAGTGTAGAGTGTAAAGTGTAGAGCGTGTTCTGACCCGACAGAGTTCCCGGACATCTTGTCGTTGATTCTGAGGTACGGCTGGTAGGAGGTGGTGAATTTGGGCCAAGGGACTGGAACTCTGCTCTCCCCTTGGTTTGGATCACTGTGGACCAGAGTTAGTCCTGGTTTAGTTCCAGTACAGTCCTAGTTCAGTCCTGGTTCAGTTCAGGTCAAGTCCTTGTTTAACCCTGGTTTAGTCCTGGTCCAGTTCTTATTCAGTCTCGTTCTTGTCCTAGTTAATGCTGGTTCAGTTTTGGTTAAGTCCTTGCTTAGTCCTGATTTAGTCCTGGTCTAGTCCTGGTCTAGTTCTGACCCGGTGCGTGCGAAGTTGCTCCAGTATTTGATCATGTAGTCGGAGAGGTCTCTGTGTCGGGGGAAGTAGACCAGAGAGAAGGAGAAGGGTTTTCCGAACAGATACTGCAGGTCCTCGGCGTGCTCCGCCTCCACCCACGCCGGGAATCCTGGGATACGCGTCTTCATGTTGAACAGGTACGAGTAGGTCCGCGCTCCGCTGGACCTGCGGGGACAAAAGAGCAGACGTCAGCAAATATACAACAAAACAAAAACAGGACTTTACTATTGAAGGAGGCAAAATTTGAAAACTAATTTAAATTGGGTTTTTTGTAAATGGTCACAAACACTTTATTAATACTTTGTTATTATATTAAATACTTTCATAATACCTCCTCAAACTAAAAATTTTAAATACTTGTTTAACCACAAATTGTATGAAATATATGAATAATGTAAAAATAATCTATCATAACAGAACATAACGTGGGACCAACAGTCTGCTGGTCGTTTTATGTTATGTTCTCATCAGGCTTGTATCACCGTGGTAAGAGCTGAACGTTCCTCCAAAGAAATACATTTATTTTTCTCCCAGCGTCATGTCTTTGCTGTGACATTAATCAGCCTTGGAGACACAATACACACATTAGAAAACACAAACAAAATAGTGTTTAGATCAGGGGTCCCCAAACCCCAGGCCGGTACCAAACAACTGATACCGGTCCACGAAAGCGCAAACCCCCCTCCCATATGCAGCTTGGACCGTGCCTCCTCCTATCTATTCGCCGCGTGGACCGTGCCTCCTCCTATCTATTCGCCGCGTGGGCCGTGCCTCCTCCTATCTATTCGCCGCGTGGACCGTGCCTCCTCCTATCTATTCGCCGCGTGGGCCGTGCCTCCTCCTATCTATTCGCCTACCTGCCTCCTCCTATTCGCCGCGTGGACCGTGCTCCTCCTATCTATTCGCCGCGTGGACCGTGCCTCCTCCTATCTATTCGCCGCGTGGACCGTGCCTCCTCCTATCTATTCGCCGCGTGGGCCGTGCCTCCTCCTATCTATTCGCCGCGTGGACCGTGCCTCCTCCTATTCGCCGCGTGGACCGTGCCTCCTCCTATCTATTCGCCGCGTGGACCGTGCCTCCTCCTATCTATTCGCCGCGTGGACCGTCCTCCTATCTATTTCCTATCTATTCGCCGCGTGGACCGTGCCTCCTCCTATCTATTCGCCGCGTGGACCGTGCCTCCTCCTATCTATTCGCCGCGTGGGCCGTGCCTCCTCCTATTCGCCGCGTGGGCCGTGCCTCCTCCTGTGCGCCGCGTGGACTGTGCTTCGTCTTTTGCGCCATGTGGATCGCATCTTCTCTCGTGTTTTTCATGCCTTTGAACCAGAACTAAGACCAGGACTAAATTCAGGTCTAAACCAGGTCTAAAATCTGGACTTAACCAGGACTAAAACATGATTTAACCAGGACTAAACCATGCTGTGCGGATCGTATTTCCTCTTGTACTCCAGTTCTCCGTAAAAGAACTGGAACTGGAAAGAAGTGGAGGGACCACATCACTCCTGTTCTTAAATCCTTGCATTGGCTCCCTGTACATTTTAGAATCCATTTTAAAATGTTAATGATTGTTTTTAAGAGTCTTAATGGAATGGCACCTTCCTGTTTAGTTGAACTCCTTCAGCCACATGTCCCATCCAGAGGTCTGAGCTCTGCAGACCAACACCTCCTGTTGTCCCCAGGACCAGACTGAGGACCAGAGGAGACAGGACCTTCTCTGTGGTCGGTCCACGACTGTAAAACACTTTTCCTTTGCACATTAGAACTGCACAAACACTGGAGCACTTTAAATCCTTGCTCAAAATGCACTACTATTGTCGTTGCTTTGTCAATTGTATGTTTTATTTCATTGTTCAGCACTTGTACTTGTACTTGTATTACTCAGCACTGACAAGCTTTGGCTATTTTAAATGTGCTATACAAATACATTTGATTTGATTTGATTTGAAAAGAAAGTCCGTTTTTGAGGTCGCTGAAAGAAGAAGAGAAGGGGAAAAGGAGTGAAGACAAACTGAGGTGATTCTTGAAGATTCCTTCCAGCGATGGCGCGACTGAAGCAGACTAAGGGTCTAAAGACTGACGCGTCGGTCGATAAGTTACTTCTGGACAGGAAACTTCAACAGCAATTCGTTCAGCAACTGTGAACGGCTGTAAACAAGCACGATTTCTAGCATAAGGAGGAGATGTTTCTACTTGTAGAGCTGTGGAGGAGTAGGATGGTGCGCAACATTTGAAAAAGGACAAACAGTCGCTCTGTTTCTCTTTCCGGGGAAAATCCTCTGTACAACCTTTAAAGCTCAAATTAAAACCTCAGACAGAGCAGAGCCTAGTGTCAGCAGATGGAGTTAATGCCTGACAGACAAAGACGAAGGAGAAAATGTCACAAAGACAATGTCTAAATTAATAGGAATAACCATACCTTGCACTCAGAGGTTTCTTTTGCTAAACGACATGTCCAAACTAAATCTAACAATTAACAATCGTTGCATATTATTAGCAGGTCTTACAGCTGCCAAAAAATGGTAATATGCTGGTGGAAATCAGTTCGGCCTCTGACTGTCAGAGAATGGCTACTATCTTTCGGAGAAATCGTTCAACTGGAGCTTTCTGCTGCTCGAACGCACGGAGCAAAAAACAAAAACATTTCTTGCTAGTCCAATCTGTTGATCAAACTGAGATCTGAATCTATTGTATAGTTGTTACCTGGAGATTTTTCTATATAATGTATGTTCTTAGAATGTACACAATATGTATACTTTCAGTTAACTTTCTATGTCTGGTACATAACATGTATGTATAACGCAATTTCTGCTGATGTCTTTTGACGGAGGAAATTTGCCGTGTTTTGTATAGAGGGAATATAAACCTGGATATGTGTGGGGTTGTGTTGTGTGTGTGTGTGTGTGTGTGTGTGTGTGAAAGTGTATATACATGTGTATGTACATATAACATATATAGTATAATATGTGTATATGGGTATGTGTGTTTATTTAGATGCTGTATATTTGTATTGTATATGTATATGTGTGTGTACATATGTATGTTGATGCCCATCAATAGGGAGTTTAAGGGGGGGGGTTAAAAGGGAGAAAAATGCAATGCTAACTGGAATATGTATAACTGCAAATAATAACACTTGAATAAAAATTTGATGACAAAAAAAAGACGAAGGAGAAGCTGGTGTTCAGACCTGCTGCCCTTTTTTTTTTTTCTTTTTTCTTTTATTTGTTTTGTTTTTTCAGACCTGTTGTGCTTTAGTTTTTTGGGGTTTTTTTCAGACCTGCTATGCTTTAGTTTATTTTTTTCAGACCTGCTGTGCTTGGCGTGCAGCTTGAGAGCGATCTGCGTGGGCACCAGGAACAGGAAGTCGGTCTCGATGTCCGACACGGTCCTCTTCACCAGCTCCGGCTCTGGAGGAACGCCCCATATGGACGAATACAGCTCCACAACCTGGTCCAGGACGGGGCCCGACCTCTGTTTGGTCAGACCGGATAGAACCCCACGCACATCATCCCTGAGAGACGGAGGAGAAAAGGGAAAGAGTGCAAAAGAGAAAGGAGAGAGAGGTGGGAGAGAGAGAGAGAAAGGGGAGGAGAGAAGGGAGAGAAGAATGAGAGAGGAGAGGCAAAGAGAATAGAAGAAGAGAAAAAAGAAGGGCGAGAGAGTTCACAGTGAATCCTTTGCTAAAGACAAAAAGGTGTGTTTTTGCATCCAGAAATGTTCACTGAAATATGTTAAGGTAAAATCAAACCTTTTTGCCTCCTGCTCCTGCCTCCTCTGTACTCCTGCATGCCTCTGTACTCACTGTGTACTCGCTGTGTACTCCTGCATGCCTCTGTACTACTGCCTCCTCTGTACTCCTGCATGCCTCTGTACTCCTGCCTCCTCTGTACTACTGCCTCCTCTGTACTCCTGCATGCCTCTGTACTCCTGCCTCCCTCTGTACTACTGCCTCCTCTGTACTCCTGCATGCCTCTGTACTCGCTGTGTACTCCTGCATGCCTCTGTACTCCTGCCTCCTCTGTACTACTGCCTCCTCTGTACTCCTGCATGCCTCTGTACTCCTGCCTCCTCTGTACTACTGCCTCCTCTGTACTCCTGCATGCCTCTGTACTCCTGCATGCCTCTGTACTCACTGTGTACTCACTGTGTACTCCTGCATGCCTCTGTACTCACGTTGTACTCCTTCATGCCTCTGCACTCATTGTGTACTCGCTCTGTATTCACTCACTCTGTAGTATTGTCATTGCGTTTGTTGATGGAGGGCACGTCCACCCCGGCAAAGAGGTGCCCGTCCATGCTGTTGACCCCGGCCATGTAGTCGAACTGTCCTGCGTTGGCGAACAGGGTGCTGGGCTCGGCCGGAATGAAGTCCCCATCCACCACCGGGGCCAGCTCCAGGAGGTCCATCACCACACCTACAACAGCAGGCACACTGTCAGGGAGCAGGAGGGACGGACGGACAGATAGACAGATAGACAGATAGATGCCCTCCTGCCAACCTCCCTTTGCTGACTGGACTCTGGATGCCCCTCCTGTGCCCTGATCCTGTTCTGTGGACGCTGAGGTGACTGCTGCTGTTGTGATTTTGAGGTTTACAAATATGAACTAGATTGAAACTGTAATGTTACCACAAATAATATTACTCAAGTAAAAATAAAAAGTGAAATGAGTAAAAAGTATTTAGGGGAACGACTCAAACTGCAAGTCTCTGTCTGAATGAAACATCTGATGGCTTTATTGATTTCTCTTTGTTATTTGGGCTGATTTAGACCTGATGAGTGTCCTGATTCATCTGAACGAATTCTAATGCTGCAGGTCAGACGGTTTCCACAAAGTGAAGCCATGTGACCTCGCAGAATTAGGATTTGTTCGCTCAACGGTAGGCGAGTACTTTTTTTTATTTAACCAAACGCTGCTGTTTGGCTGTGACGTATGTAATATTCCAAATCCCGTAGGAAGAAGAACAATAACGTGTTCCAGCTTTAAATCCTCGCCGATCTGGGGAATCGTCGCCAACACAGAATGTCTGTCTTCGTCTACATCCATCTTGACGCTTTGTTTACTGTTGTTCTGTTCCACAAAAGGGACACAGACAGACGCTTCAGTTTGACGTCATGACTTCACAGCTCACAGCTGAGTGGCCAGCGCTCGGTCTACAACTTCAACTTGTAAACCCTCTAGTGCAGGAGTGGGCAAACTTTTTGGCTCGCGGGCCACATAGGGTCCTAAAGTTTGGCTGAAGGGCCGGACAGAAGACAAGATATAACGTGTTAAGAACTCGGCTTCATTACATCATATTCACATTTATGTAGAACTTCAGACGCTTCGACATTTCTGTGAATGATTCAGACACATAAAAGTGTATAAATGTGTTCCACTGCACACAACAGGGAAATAAATATCATAAGTTCACTATTTTCAAATTTGACTAAAAACAACTCAATAACAAAGCCAATGCCAAACAATCACACACATACACTGATAAGTGCAGTACAACTGGACACTACAAAGTCACATAAATTAACATCTGCAACTTACAATCTTCAAGTGTTCTATTTTTATTTTTTTAACAACTTAAAATGGAAGCAGTGCAGCCTTATATCTTAAACACCAACTACTTCACTCATGGTCTGAATAACTCCTGTAAGAACACTTTCCCATAAAGCATTGCGGCCAATATAATACGCCGCACCTCAATGTATATGTAGTGGGAAACGCTGGAAATGCATGACAAATTAAACATCAACAAGGTTTATTATTGTCATTTCTTCCAGTTCGGCGGCCGGATTAAAAGGTTTAAAGGGCCGTATACGGCTCCCGGGCCGTAGTTTGCCCACCCCTGCTCTAGTGTATTCTTATTCCTGAATCCTGAAATTCTTAAGGATCAGTTATCAATTGCAGTAGTACTAGTACAGAAATAAGATTAGTACCTCTCCCGAGTAAGAGCAGCACGTCGATCTTTCCGGCCATGGTGAGTCCCACGGGGTCCGACATCTTCAGACACGTGATCATCTGGTCTGAGTCTGTCCTCCAGCAGCCCACTTTACTGGCAATCTGCTCCAGGAACCAGCACCACCACAACACAACACAAGACAAGACTCTTTTGATTTAGATGATGAGGATTTATCCAGGACGGCAGCAGAATGGAGAGAGTTTAGATGTAAAAAGGCTAATTAAATTTGTGAGTCGTGAGTTTAATGAGATGTTCAGATATTTCTCCTTCACTCCTCCTCCTGCTGCTGCTGCTGCTGCTGTGACTGTGACTCTGACCTTCTTGAGGAGTTTGAAGGGCTCCCTCTGATGGGCCCAGGGGCTCAGGGCCACACCACACTGAGAGATCGCTCTGCGAAAGAGACCCCTGCTGTACGGAGACAACATCTGCACAGAGAGAGAAGAGAGGGAAGAGAGAAGAGAGAAGAGGAGAAGAGAGAGAAGAGATAAGAAGGGGAGAGGAGAGGGGAGAGAGAAGAAAATGATGAGAAACATGTTTGATATATTTAAATAAATGAGTCAAAAATCAGACCAAACCAGCACTGAACCGTTTTCAGTCCCAGTCTATGTCCCAGTCTCAGTCCTGGTCTCAGTCTGAACCAATCTGGTTCTGGTCTGGTCGGACCTGGTTTAGTCCTGGTTCAGTCCGTTATCTGCTTTTTCCATTTTTCATGTAAACACAAAATTGAAAACTGAAAACAAAATTGTTTTTTAAATTTTGGTTTTGGAGACAAATAATGAAGAAGATAGTTGTTGTTTTTTTTTCATTTTCTTATTTTTGGTTTTATTTTGGAAAAACAATTGAACGAATGATACACGAAGTTTTAAACACGCTGGATTTCAGCTTTGGATCTGGCAAAGCAAATCAGAGAATCAGGAGGCTGGAATATTAAACATCTTGAGAACCAAAACACATAAATTATAACATAAACCTTGCGTAATCCCCCCCAAAAATGTGTTACAATAGTTATCTGTGCGTGTATTTGTTCATTTTGTATATTTGTGTGATTATTAGTGTGTTATTTGTGTGATATTTGTGTGTTTTTAGATGTTTTTTTCTGACCTGGTAGCTGACACTGGCAGCTCCGGCCGACTGCCCAAATATGGTCATGTTGTCAGGGTTTCCTCCGAACTTCTGGATGTTTCTTTTGACCCAGGAGATGGCGGCGTGCTGGTCCCACAGGCCGTAGTTCCCTGAGAGAGAATGGTAAGAGAGTACGGTGGATCGGAAACTTGAGTTATTAGTTCAGTCGCTGACAAGATAAACAGAACTGAAGGTAGTTTTTTTTTTTTTGCTGGTACAATTACATTTTTGTTTACATCCATTACATTTTTTTTTTTTTCTTATGATTATTGTTATTATTGAGAGAAAATCCGATTGCTCTGAGGCCTCAGTCGTTAGTGGCAGTGAGGTCATGTGAGGCTCATTCTGCTTTCTGATTGGAGAATTATCTTGAGAATACATCATTAAGGTTGTGCTTTGTAAAATCTATATATGTTCAGTCATGTTAGTGAAATTAGAAACAAAAAATCTACAAACCTTGAAATTAAAAAGTGCAGAAGTAACACTACTTAAGTTTACTCTGCAGTTCTGTTGTTGCGGCCTAATTTGATTAATAGTTTTTATTACAGACAAAACTCAACATGATAATTCTGCAGATATCCAGAAATAACTGATCTGAACGCTGACAGTTTTGGTGTTTTGGTGAATCTTGTGTTTGTTTTCAGTAAAAATATCCTCCACAGCTGGACTCGGCTCCAGCTTTATCTGAGCCTGAGATAACCCAGAGCAAAGCATCATGGGAAACCTGCAGCCGGCGACTCAGACACAGGGTCTTTCCCAAACACCTCACATCTCTGTTTCCTTCACTCTAATACTCAGGTTTGTGTTTCATTTCTCGTTCCTCACGTCCTTCTCCTTGATTCTGCAGGAAATGAGTGAGGACGTCTCGCCCACAGAGGAGACACAGAGAGGAGGAGCAGCGGCTCTAAGTAAAGTTGGCACGAAGCTCCTCCGGCTCAGACCTCGGGGCTTCCCCCGGGGCTGTGGGATCAGTGTCTCACTGTGGGATCCTCTGCTCCCAGTGCGGCTGTCGACCAGGAGGGACTGTGGTCAGTGCTCTGACTGTGTCGCACCACAGGATGACACACAGAAGAGTAACTTTACACCGAATTGAAAGAGAAACAACATTTCTCCAGCAAAAACTGGGTTCAGGGTAAAATATTACACTATTTGTGTTGTTTTTAACACAAAAAGTGTTATTTTTAACTAAATGTGTTATTTTAACTAAACCAAGTGGGGGTATTTGCTGGAGTTGATTTGGTTGAAGTTAATTCAACTTCTCTTAGTGTTAATTTGGCTCCTCCCACCACTACACACTCCCTCGAGAGAAGACCAGTTTGAACCAGTTTTGCTCATAATTTTATCTTAAATGAACTCAAATAAAGTGTAAAAATAAAACACCTGTGTGTTGTTTAGATAAAACAGGATAACTCTACAAAGTGTTATGTTTGTCTGTCTGTTTACTCTCAAAACTCTTGATTTCAGGTTAAACAGGAACTTTGGTTCAGTGTTACTTAATGAACATTTCCAAAAATATTAAATTAACTCTAGAACAGATTGGACTCAGATAAACCCTGAGAAAATGTTAAAACTGATTCTTTGTGAGTCAATTTTAACACTCCTCTTTTTTGCTATTTTTACCTGAAAAACGTAGTTACGTTACTATAATGTGACACCCAACACTGTCTACAACTCCTCAAACCTGATGTGATGTGCAGTTGTTTCATCAACAAAATGCAGGGCAATTATAATAATATGATAGTGCTCTGAAGGGGGAGTGACAAGAGCAAAGAGCAGGAAGACTCAGAATGTCAAAAACAAAAGTGAAACATAAATATGCTGTTTTTGCTGAATTTTTAAAACGTTAAAAGGAAACATGATCTAAACATGTGATGTGTTACAGTGAAAACCCCAGAGAAGTCAAATCTGACCCGGTCTGAACCCGGTCTGAACCCGGTCTGACCCCGGTCTGGTCTTACCGGGCATGCGACTGTCTCCGCTGCTGAGGAAGCCCATGGTCCCGACTCTGTAGTTGACGGTGACGACGATGACGGTGCCTCTGTCGGCGAGCTCCACGCCGTCGTACAGAGACTGACCCAGAACCTCCACGTCGTTTGAGGCGCCGAGAAGAAACGCTCCACCGAACAGGTACACCATGACGGGCAGGTTCTGAGAGACTGAGAACACGGTCAGGACCAGGACTGAACTGGGACTGAACTGGGTCTTAAGCGGGACTAAAAACTACTGAAACAGGACTGTAACAAGACTAAACCAGGACTAAATCAGGACTGAAACAGGAGTAAAACAGGACTAAACCAAGATTATAACAGGACTAAACAGGGACTGAACCGGGAATAAACCGGGAATAAAACAAAACTTACCCGGCACTAAAACAGGACTAAAAGAGGACTGAACTGGAACTAAAACAAGACTGAAATAGGACTAAATCAGGACTTACACGGGATGGAAACAAGACTGAAACAGGCCTAAACCAGGACTAAAGTGGGACTAAACCAGGTCTAAAGCAGATCTAACTCAGGTCTAAAGCGGGACTTACCCGTGACTCCTTGTGGTACAAAGATGTTGAGGTAGAGACAGTCCTCGGAGCCCTGGGTCTTGGTCTGGAGCAGATTCACCTGAAGACAACGATCCCTGTACTCCACGGCCTTCAACACACCTGGAACACAGACCAGAACCAGGACTGAACCAGGACTGAACCAGGACTGAACCAGAACTAAACAAGGACTAAACCAGGACTGAACAAAGTCTAAACAAGTCCTAAGCCAGGACTGGATCAGGAACTAAGACTAAACCAGGACTACAATAGATCTACAAAAATCGAAACCAAGTTTAAACCAGGACTACACCAGGACTACGTCTAAACCAGTAACAAGGACAAAACAAGTGCTGAATTAGGAGCCAGGACTAAACAAGGCCTATACAAGATCTAACCAAACCAGGTCTAAACCAGGTCTAAACCAGGTCTAAACCAGGTCAAAACCAGAACTAAATCAGATTTAATCAAAGACTAAAGCTGGACTAAACTCTAAAAGGTCTAAAATAGGTCTAATCCAAGTCTAAACCAGGTCTAAACCAGGCATAAACTAGGTCTAAACCAGGTCTAAACCAGGTCTAAACCAAGTCTAAACCAGGTCTAAACCAGGTCTAAACCAGGCCTAAACCAGGTCTAAACCAGGTCTAAACCAGGCCTAAACCAGGTCTAAACCAAGTCTAAACCAGGTCTAAACCAGTCTAAACCAGGCCTAAACCAGGTCTAAACCAGGTCTAAACCAGGCCTAAACCAGGTCTAAACCTAAACCAGGTCTAAACCAGGCCTAAACCAGGTCTAAACCAGGTCTGGGGTCAGTACCGTCCCATCCTGGGTGTGGTTGGGGTTTTTCCCATCTTTTGGGGACGTCGGCGAAGGGGATTCCTTTAAAAACGTCGACGCTGCTGAAGAGTCCAGTGCTGCGCCTGGTGCCCTCCACAGCGCCCCCTTCAGTCTGCACCACGCCCAGCTGAAACACACACAAACACACACATATATATATATATATATATATATATATATATATATATATATATATATATATATATATATATATATATATATATATATATATATATATATATATATATATATATATATATATATACATACACACACATATATATATACACACATTTACACTATTACTGAGTTCTCCTCTCAGTCTGTTCCACCTTGTGATGTCATCATGTGGTGATACAGGAAGTGCTCCAGTGTGTTTTTAAACACATCTTCACTAGAATCATCTGGATCTTTTCAGCTCTGGAGTCGCCGACCTCTACTGAACTAAAGGTAAAAAGAGCTGTTTGTAACTATCACTTCATGACATCACAAGGTGGAACAGAGCGTTTGGAGCTTTGGAGGTGTGGACTTTCACAAGTGTCAGTTTTGTGAAAAGCTACAGTATGTAACTTTCTGGACGACGCCTTATTCAGGAAAAATCTGAAGTTATGTTTTTTGGCCCTGGCTCTTTAACCCTCTCAGGCTCAAATTCATTTTTTAGTATCAGGAAAAATCTGATATTTGGGGAAAATTATCATATGGGGCAGTAATATACAATTCTGACTTTTTTATCCTTTGTAAACAAAAAAAGTATTTTGCACTTCTGGCCGTTTGTGTGTAGTCGTTCTTGCACAGTCTGCATCGTCCACGTTTATCAGCATGGATGGGAGAAAAGGCTCCTGAGTAAAAAAAAAGCTCATATAATATGGATGTGGAGTAAGTAGGTACTTGGAATTTAGCTGTTGCAAATCTGCAACGCCTGCCTGGAGAGGGTTAAATTCTTCTTTTCCTGTGGACCTGGGTTCACTCGACCATTTAGTGAAGTCAGTTTTTTTCAAACTCAGGAGACAAAATGGACCCAGATCTAAAATTTGATCAGCAAATCAGTGCTGTTGTAAAATCAGTTTATTTCCAGTTAAGACAATTGGCCAAAATTAAACCCATTTTGTCAACGGAACTGTTCGAAACTGTCACACATGCATGTTATTAGGTTCTTTTTCTCAGACCTAGAGTGTTATTTCATACCGGACAGTTTGTTCTGCTCACTAGCGTCTTCCTCAGAGTCACGTGATGTTTCTGTGACGTGTCGCTCAGATGATTTAAACAGGTTTTGGCGCTGTCTTCCTACCGGTGGAGGCAGGACGACAGCGCCACCTGCAGTCCCACTTCCTCAGGACAGAATTGCAGGTGTGTGAGAGTAAAAAAGCCCCTCGTCCCGGTTTATCGTCCTGTGGGCACGTTTCCGTATTTCGTTTGCTTCTTTAATCCAGCGGCGATGTTTGTTTTCCTCTGTCCCAGTGACGTTTGCTCCGTCCCCGTCCATAACGTGTTTCTCTCTTTTACACTGGTCAGAAACGGCCGATTTGAGTTGTTCCTGTTCGGCTTTGTGTTTTGTTGCTCGTGTTTCACCTTCGCTGTTTCCTTCTCGCATTCTGTTCTATGTTCCTTTTTTCGTGGACTGAACGCCCTCCCTGTTTCCCCGATGTGTGTTTTATTTCAGGACATGCAGGTATTTCGTATATGACGTTACATTTATGCTCCGGTTCTATTTTGTCTTTCGGGTGGACGAGTAATTGTCTGAGTTTTCTGTATGGTTTCACTGGTGTGTTGATATTGTGTTTTTTTCATCGCCCTCTGTACTTTTTCTGTTACGCCCCTGATGTCCTGCCTCCACCGGTAGGAAGACAGCACCAAAGCCTGTTTAAGTCAGCTGACCAGACACGTCACAGCAACATCACGTGACTCTGAGGAAGACGCCAGTGAGCAGAACAAACTGTCAGGTATGAAATAACACTCTGGGTCTGAGAAAAAGAACCTAATAACATAGAATACTGGACGACCAAATGAATCTCACTGGACTGTCACACATGCATTTGTGACGACTAGATTGGATTATTGTCATGCACTTCATGCTGGTGTCAGACAAAATGCACTTTGCCGTTTGTGGCAGGTCCAAAACTCATCGGCTCGACTTTTAACTGGAACCTGGTGTCAGAATAATTTTATTATCCCATATTTGCTAAATACTTGTGTGATATTCTAGGCCTATGAGTTAACCATTTATGTACTACAATTCTTTGATTTATAATGTACCAATCACTTGTCACTTGTTGAATAACCTCTGTGTGTTTGACAACTGTGTGCAGTGTCCTGTCGCTCTTGTGAACCTCGAGATGATTCCTCACATGAAGCCAACTCCCACTGTCACACATGAAGAGTTATGATGGTGTCTGACCTAAGGCACCTCCTGATTGTTAATCATGTTTTATGTGTTTGTACTATGCTTAGCTGCACCAGTTTCTTATTATGTCTTTGCTGTTTCCCCTTCCCCTTGAGAATTATCATTCTGTAACTAGGGCCTCCTAATGAAATAAAAAGAGGAGAACGGCCTTGAGTCATCAGAACGTGTGGAGACTGTTGGTTTTGATGCCCACTCTCTGCCCGTTCTCCTCATGAGTAAAACTGAATTAATCTCTTGTCTTTCTTCTTGTTTTTAAATGTCTAGATAAACCTAACACCTGGAAACACGAGAGCGTCTCACCTATTTTAGCTTCTCTCCATTGGCTCTCGGTGTCTTTTAGAGTCAATTTTAAAGTGATTTGATTTACTTTTCAGTGTTTGCATGGCCTAGCGCCCTCCTGCCTCGTTGACCTGATTCCCGCTTACACCCCCTGTTGCACACTCAGGTCACCCTTATGCCTCCTCTCGCTCTCTCAGGTCTGCAGATCAGCTCCAGCTCATCGTTCCAGAGACTAAACTTGAGCTTCGTGGGGACCGTGTGTTTTCTGCTGTGGCCCCTCGACTGTGGAACCAGTAGAGATCAGAGGCCGAGTCTGGACCTGTTTTTAAATCACTCCTAAAAACACACCTTTTTTCACCGGCTTTTAATAAGTGACATGTATATTTCTTGTTGTTGACTATCTTATTTTTTAGTAGGTGTATTGTGTTTGTTTTGTGTATTGTGTTGTACTGTGATTGTCCTTGTCTGCCCTGTCTTTGTGTACAGCACTTTGGCCAACTGTAAAGTTTTTAAAGTGCTTTATAAACAGTGTTGGGAAGTTTACTTTTAAAATGTAATCCCCTACAGATTACAGATTACACACCCCAAAATGTAGTTTGTAACAGAATCCATTAAATTACTTAAAGTGAGTAACGTAATCTGAATACTTTGGATTACTTGATTTGCCGTATTAAAAATATTATTGATAGAAGACGAGGAGACACGTCCACGCAGCCTGGTTTAGTCCTGTTAAATCCTGGTTTAGTTCTGTTTTAGTTCTGGTTTAGACCTGGTTTTAGTCCTAGTTTAAACCTGGTTTAGATCTGGTTTAGACCTGGTTAGATCTGGTTTAGATCTAGTTTAGACCTGGTTTTAGTCCTGGTTCAGTCCTAGTTTAGACCTGTTTTTAGACCTGTTTTAGAACTGGTCTAGCTCTAGTTTAGACCTGGATTTGGTAATGAGTGAAATTACTGAAAAAAAACAAAACAAAAAAACAAAAAAAACAAATGGGGATACAGGCCAAAATGTGAAAACAGGAAAATCCTGCCGTGTAATCCATTTATTTCAACAAAGTAACTGTAATCCAATTACCACTTAATGAAACAGTAACTGTAACTGAATACAGTTACTCATCATTTGTACTCTGATTACTCTGGTACATGTAATCTGTTACTCCCCAACACTGATTATAAATAAAGTTGGTATGATATGGTAGGTGGTGCACCTGCCTGATTCCATGGAGACAGAAAGTTAAAACCATACTTCATGATTTACTCGGGACAGTCCAAGTTTTGAGCCTGTGTCTCAGCAGATTTATAAAAAAAAAAAACACCGATTTGTCCCAGTTTTATGTAAAAAAAAAGTCCCAGGTGTCCATATTTTTGACCAATCTGATCCCTGCCAACAGTAAAGAGAGACACAAACTGTCATTTGTTTTGGTAAAATACAGAAAAGTTGCTTCAAAACAACCAAAACACACAGAAAATGTGATTATACTGACTCATGTTGGTCAAGAATGGGCCGAGCGCAGAACAGTTTTTCTTAATTACTCACTTAATTCACAATTATATTATTACCAATTGGCCCAAACCGTGAGAGTCCAGTTTTTGATTCTCGAGAGTCTGGTCTCTCTGGTCTTACCGTTGCGGCGGAGAGCAGGTCCACAGAGAGGAGGACGAGAAACGCGGTCAGAGCCTCCATCTTTGTCCAAATGTGACAGAAACAGGTCCAGGTGCAGCTGCTGGACGCGTTTATAGTTTGTCTTATCTGGACACACACGGGACACTGCGGGGGGCGGCAGAGACTCTTATCTGCTCTGAACAAACACACAGAGTGATACAGGTCAGTGTGACTAGAGCCGACTGCAGGTCTCACTATGATCTAAACCCCGGCACCTGCACCAGCGTGAGTCAGTGCTAGTGCAGCCTCTGCAGCTCATGGAGGGAATTCTGGAAGTTCTGAGCTTCACATGACGCCTGAACATAAACTGAGAATGAGACAAACGCAGGACGAGTCTCTGTGTCTCTGAATCTCAGATTTGTGAGTGACATTATTATTTCATTGTCCGATTTGTTCAGTCTGTAGATAAAACTGAACATTCATATTCTTAGTGCAGCTCGCAAAGTTTTCACTCGTGCAGTAACAAATATTTCAGTCGCACTCGTCCATCGTGGCTCCTCAAAAGCTCCGTAAAGTGTCACATTAAGCAACTGCAGCCTTTGTAAACCGACTTTTTTTTATAATTAGTCCAGAGGTGAGCAGTACAACGGTGTAAAATATGATTTAAACAACAACAAGTCCGAGTCAAGTCCCAAGTCAGTGACCTTCAAGTCCAAGCTGAGTCCCAAGTCTTAGTCCATTTAATCAAGTCAACTCTCACGCCCTAAAATCCAATCCAATCCACTTTATTTCTATAGCACATTTCACAAACAAACAAAGTGCTGCACAAATACATAAAAATAACAACAATAAGATGATAAAGTAAACTACTAAAATAATACTAGTCTTAAGACCAGTAAAATAAAATAAACCAGTAAAATAAAAATAAAACTATATCATAGAATAGAAATAAATAAACCAATAAATAAATTAAATCAGTAAAACCAATAAAAACACATAAAAATAAATAAAAGACACAGAGGAGCACACGACTCACGCGGTGTTAAAAGCCAGAGAATAAAAGTGGGTCTTCAGACGAGATTTATAAGTTTCCACTGTGGAGCTGCTCGAACGTGAAGCGGCAGAACGTTCCAGAGTTTAGGGTCGACCACAGAGAAGCTCCTGTCCTCCTGGTTTTAAGTCTCGTCTTAGGCCCTGAGCTGGAGCTGGACCTCGGACCTCAAAGCGCAGGGGTATAAATTTGGATGAGGTCTGAGACGTACTGTGGAGCCAGTCCATTCAAAGCTTTAAAAACAAACAATAAAATCTTAAAATCAATTCTAAAATGAACAGGGAGCCAGTGCAAAGACGCAAGGATTGGGGTGATGTGCTCTTCTCTCCTTTTTGCTCCTGTTAAAAGTCGCGCTGCAGAGTTTTGGACGAACTGTAGTCGGTAAAGTGCGTTTTGCGAAATGCCGGAATAAAGTGCATTACAGTCGTCCAGGCGCGATGAAATAAAAGCCTGTATAACTTGTTCAAGGCAAGTTTATTTGTACAGCACAATTCGTACACAAAGTAATTCAAAGTGCTTTACAGAATAAGAAATACATTAAAATCATAATAAAAACAAATCAAAACATAAATAATCATGAAGATTAAAAAAATAAAAAGAGAGACATAAATTGGAGAGAAGAGTGCGGAATGAAAACCTTTCAGTTATTTGCACAGTTAAACAGAAATGTTTTAGAGTCTGGATTTAAACAGCGTCACAGAAGAGTCTGTCTCACATGTTCAGACTGTTCCAGGTTTTAGCTGCATGAACCTGAAACTCTGACTCCCCTTGTTTAGTCGTGACTCTGGCACCAGCAGGAGTTGGTCCCTGAGCTCCTCAGAGTGTGAGATGTTCATATGACACTAACATGTCACAGATGGACTTTGGTGCTCGGACCATGGAGACACTTGTACAAACAGAGCTGCTTTAAAGTCTCTGAGCCACAGGAGCCAGAGCAGAGACCTGAGACCAGGACTTATGTGCTCGTACTTCCTAGTTCGAGTCAGGACCCGAGCTGCAGCGTTCTGGATGTTCTGGATGTTCTGGATGTTCTGGATGTTCTGGATGTTCTGCAGCGTCTCACAGCTCGTTTGGAGAGACCAGTGAGCAGAACATTACAGTATCTAACCTCCTGGAGACAAACGCATGGATAAGTTTCTCCAAGTCTGATTTAGACAGTAAACCTTTGATTTTTGCTCTGTTTTTTAGATGGTAAAAGGCTGCAGATGTTATTGATTTGATGTGGCTGTTAAAGTTCAAGTCTGAGTCCATTATTACCCCGAGATTTCTTGCCTGATTTGAAGGTTTTAGAGAGAGAGACTGGAGCTGATGCTGACACTGTCCCTTTGTTTCTGTGGACCAAACACTATGACTTCAGTCTTGTCAGAGTTTAGCTGGAGAAAGTTGTTTTGTTCAAATAGTTTAAAAGATAAAAAAGGTTTAACTTTAGATAAAAGTCGCAAATGATAAAAACTTGATTTTAAAACATTGTTAATCTGTTTATCAAATTTAAAATCACTGTGTAAGACGACGCCAAGGTTGGTGACTGTGGGACGAACATGATTTTTGAGGAATCCCACATTAGTGAGGGAACTGTTGGCCCTGAACAGTATCACCTAGAAAAAAATAAAATAAAATAGTGCCTCAAGTCTGACTCGAGTTGCAAGTCCCCACCTCTGCAAGTAGAATCCGATTTTTAAAACCAAATCTGACCACAATCACAATTTTTGATTCTTGCAGCCTGAGCAGTGAGTCCAGTCCTCTGCCCTGGTCCAAGTCATCACCTCACGCTCACTTTCACACAAAACAGTCAAGTCCAGCCTCTGGGAAAAGGACAGAAGGGCTCCCTCTGCTGGTGAACACGAGTCATCTCCAAAATAACTAGAGCAATAGTGATTTTCACATGATCCTCCTCCTGATTTAAGATGGATAAACTCCTGATTTCTGCTGTTGTCCCCAGTGTAGAGTGACCAGACGTCCTTATTTACCCGGGACAGTCCCAGTTTTGAGCCCGTGTCCGATGTCCCAGCAGATTTATACAAAACAACTGATTTATCCCAGTTTTATACAAGAAATGTCCCAGGTGTGTCTATTTTTGACCAATTTTAAACTTACCAACAGTAAAGAGAGACATAAACTGTCATTTGTTTTGGTAAAATACAGAAAAGCTGCTTAAAAACGAACAAAACAACGAAAATTTGACTCTTCTGAACCATGTTATATTCCCATCTTTTGGTCAAAAATCAGATCAGGCTCAAAACTGGGACTGCCCCGGGTAAATCGGGATGTTTGGTCACACCAATTCTGTTCAAAGTTTCACATTTTGAAAACGTCTAGAAAGAACTGACAAAAAAAAAAAAAAAAGAAATTCGAATTGACAAACTAAAACAAGAATCATATGTTTGTGCAGATCTAAACTACAGAGTGAGCAGCTTTTATGGAGAATTACTTTTACTATAGAGTGACCAGATTTTCAAAATAAAAATCTGGGAATAAAAACGGGGACATCCCTGGTTTGTGGTGGTTGGTAATAATAAAATTGTAAAACGAGGAGAATTGTTCTACATTAGCACTAGCGTGAGTCACATTTTCTTTGTGTTTTGTTCGTTTTTATGCAGATTTTCTTTATTTTACCAAAACAAATGACAGTTTATGTGTCTCTTTACTGTTGGCAGGATCAGACTGGTGAAAAATAGAGACACCTGGGACATTTCTTGTATAAAACTGAGACAAATCAGTGATTTTGGATAAATATCAGCCCACACTGGGATTGTCCCGGGTAAATCATGATATTTGGTCACACTATAGTTATAGTTTCACATTTTAAACACTTTGATTTAAGAAAGTTTTATCATGAGTGGAGTAGATTTCACTTGACAAGTAAAATGATCTGCCAGTGGAACAAGACTTTTTGTAGTTAAAATATGAAAATACATCTTGTTGCACTTAAAGTAAGAAACAAAATCAAATGTTGCTTGAATTAAGAAAAACACACTCGCTCCATTGGTAAATAGTTTTACTTGTCAAGTTGAATCGACTCAAATAAAGCAAAACATTCTTAATTTAAGTCGTTTAAACTCATCTAGATATTACTTTTTGCAGTGAGGGTGAGCAGCTTTTATGCAGAATTACTTTTACTATACGGGGACAAGATTTTCAAAATAAAAAAAACTGGAACATCCCTTGATTTGTGGTGTTTGGTAATAATAAAATTGTAAAAAAGAGCGTAATTAAGGAGAATTGTCCTGCATTCGGCATTCAGTTTAGTCACATTTTCTTTGTGTTTTTGGCTTTTTTTTTTTTTTTTTTTTTGTATTTTACCTAAACAAATGACAGTTTATGTTTGTCTTTACTGTTAGCAGGATCAAGTTGGTTCAAAATAGAGACACCTGGGACTTTTCTTGTATAAAACTGGGATAAATCAGTGGTTTTGTATAAATCCACTGGGACAGGAGACCAGTGTTGGGGAGTAACAGATTACATGTACTGGAGTTATGTAATCAGAGTACAAATGATGAGTGGTAATTGGATTACAGTTACTTTGTTGAAATAAATGGATTACACAGAGGGATTTTCCTGTTTTCACATTTTGGGTTATATCCCGCTTTTTTTTTTTTTTTTTTTTTTTTGTGGTAATTCCACTCATTGCCGGAAACTAAACTAGATCTAAACTAGATCTAAACCAGGACTAAAACCAGGTTTAAACTAGATCTAAACCAGGTTTAAACGAGATCTAAACTAGATCTAAACCAGATTTAAACTAGATCTAAACCAGGACTAAAACCAAGTCTAAACTAGATCTAAACCAGGTCTAAAACCAGGTCTAAACCAGGACTAAAACAGGATTTAACAGGTCTAAATCCTGCTGTGTGGACGTGTCTCTTCTTCTATCAATAATATTTTTAATACGGTCAAGTAAATTCTGGGCTTTTCATTGTCTTTTCGCAAACAAAACATCTTGTCTTGTCTCTACCGAATTACCAGATTACATTACTCACTTTAAGTGATTTAATGGATTACGTTACAAACTACATTTTGGTGTGTGTAATCTGTAATCTTCCCAACACTGCAGGAGACACAAGTTTAATCCCGTTCGTCTGGTGATTTTATTTTAAGACACTTTAACCCGCTGGTGCTGTGATTGACAGGTGTGAGTGCGCGCGCGCGTGTGGAGGGCGGCGCCGGAGCTCAGGTTACGTGGTGGGCGTGGCCTGGCGTCGCTGATGTCTGCGTGCGTCCTGACGCATGGCCCGCAGGTAAACAACTGTCCTCCTATAAACGTCTTTTCTCCGTCTTTTCTGCGCTTTTCCGCTGAAGCGTCTCGGCCCGCGTGCGCCGGAGGGGTCCTCGCGGCGGTATGCGGGTGCACGCGGAGTGTCAGGTCGCGTGCGCTGCGTGTGGCTCCCGTTTTAGCCGTTAGCAGGTTAGCATTAGCCCCGTTAAAAGTTCACAGCTGCGTGAGGCGCGTGGCCCCCGCTCCGCCGCACGCGCTCCTCCCTCCCGCGGTGACGTCACACAAAGTTTCTGCGCGAGTAAACACGGCTCACTGCGCATGCGCGGGCCTGCTCCGTCACGTGGCTTTGAGTTTTGCTCTCGAGGACCAAACAGAGTCCTGACTTAGACCTGGTTTAGTCCTGATTTAGACCTGGTTTAGTCCTGACTTAGACCTGGTTTAGTCCTGATTTAGACCTGGTTTAGTCCTGACTTAGACCTGGTTTAGTCCTGACTTAGACCTGGTTTAGTCCTGATTTAGACCTGGTTTAGTCCTGATTTAGACCTGGTTTAGTCCTGATTTAGACCTGGTTTAGTCCCGAGTTAGACCTGCTTTAGTCCTGACTTAGACCTGATTTAGTCCTGATGTAGACCTGGTTTAGTTCTTAGTTTGGCCTGGTTTAGTCCTGACTTAGACCTTTTTCAGTCCTGCTTTAGTCCTGACTTAGACCTGATTTAGTTCTGAGTTAGTCCAGGTTTAGTCTCAGGTTACACCTAGTTCAGTCCTGTTTTAGTCCTTAGTTGGACCTGTTTAATCCTGAGTTAGACCTGGTTTAGTCCTTAGTTAGACCTGGTTTAGTCCTTAGTTAGACCTGGTTTAATCCTTAGTTAGACCTAGTTCAGTCCCGATTTAGTCCTGAGTTAGACTAGGTTTAGTCCTGAATTAGACCAGGTTTAGTCCTGACTTAGTTATGAGTTAGTCCTAGTTCAGTCCTAATTTAGTCTAAGTTCAGTACTGATTTAGTCCCGAGTTAGACCAGGTTTAGTCTGAGTTAGTCCTGAGTTAAACCTGGTTTAGTCCTGAATTAGACCTGGTTCAGACTTGGTTTAGTCCTGAGTTAGACCTGGTTTAGTCCTGAGTTATTGTTAATTTATGTTTGTGTATCTGTCCTGATTCAAATAAAATAAAATAAAAAATAAATCAAATATTAGCGTCGGGCTGCAGGACTTCAGGGGTTTAGTCGTTCTGTCAGTCAGCGGAGTTTTAGTCGACCAAAATGTGCATCGTACTAATCATTTAATTAAGATGGTAAGGATTTCTTTAAAGCTACACTGTGTAACTTTTCAGGTTGGGGTTCCGTCACCTGCTCGTTGGAATGTTCTGCAGTGTGACATTAAACATTTCTATTTTACATTTATTCAATCACAGGTGGATTTATTGCTCAAAAACACCTATAAAAACAGACGTTCTGACTGTGAGCGGAGTCGCCTCTCCACTGATCTGACCTGTAACTAAACGTGACATTTCTCGTGTGATTTGTGTTGTTCATGTGTGTGTGTGTTGTTTGTTGCAGGTGTTAGTCATGTCCCGGGAGCCTGTGGTTCTGGACCTGTCTCTGCTCGAGGGGTCGGACCTGAAGGAGGCGGAGCTCGTCAGAAACTCCCTGTCGCAGCAGCTCAACTCAGGTCTGACGGGCAGATTTATGACGCTGCTGGAGAATACCACACGCATTTACACGCACATTTACACACACTTTTTTAAGAAAGCCGAGAGGGTCACAACAAACGCAAACGCCGCAACAAATACAAATGCGACAACACAACAAAAAGCCACAACACACCAAAAAAAGCCACAACGGAAATGACCGCGGGACTCTATTTTAATGCAAACGTCGCAACAAACACAAACGCAAATGCCACCACAACAACACAAACGCAAATGCCACAACACATTAAAAAGCCACAACACAGACGCAAATGCCACAACACTTTGAAAAACCACAACACAAACGCAAATGCCACAACACATTAAAAAGCCACAACACAAACGCAAATGCCACAACACATTAAAAAGCCACAACACAAACGCAAATGCCACAACACATTAAAAAGCCACAACACACAAATGCACCACACAATGCAAAACAACAAAACGCAAACACAAACGCCACAAAACATTAAAAAGCCACAACACAAATGCAAATGCCACAACACATTAAAAAGCCACAACACAAATGCAAATGCCACAAGCACATTAAAAAGCCACAACACAGACGCAAATGCCACAACACTTTGAAAAACCACAACACAAACGCAAATGCCACAACACATTAAAAAGCCAAAACACAAATGCAAATGCCACAACACATTAAAAAGCCACAACACAAATGCAAATGCCACAGCACATTAAAAAGCCACAACACAGACGCAAATGCCACAACACTTTGAAAAACCACAACACAAACGCAAATGCCACAACACATTAAAAAGCCACAACACAAACGCAAATGTCGCAACACATTAAAAAGCCACAACACACCAAAAAGCCACAACACTTTAAAAAGCCACAACAACAGAAGTGACAGTTGGACTCTATTTTCCGACGGACCGATCAAGCGGCAAGTGAAGAAGAAGAACTACAACGTGAAACGAATAATGATAAAACAATAAATTACTTTTACTTACGTTTCCAACTTCTCCGTTCCTTTACTTTTCACGTTGTAGTTCTTCTTCTTCACTTGCTGCTTGATCGGTCCATCAAAAATAGAGTCCCGCGGTTGCTTCCGTCGTGGCTTTTTTATGTGTTGTGGCTTTTTAATGTGTTGTGGCGTTTGCGTTAAAATAGAGTCCTGCGGTCATTTCCGTTGTGGCTTTTTTGTTGTGTTGTGGCTTTTTGTTGTGTTGTGGCATTTGTATTTGTTGCAGCGTTTGCGTTTGTTGTGACCCTCTCGGCTTCTGTACGTTTTGCCACAGAAAACCATTCACCAGAAGTTCTGCAAACCTAAAGCGGTGCACCTCCGGCCGTAGTGAAAAAGCTCTTTTTGTCTGGATATTCGTATCAGGATAAATAAAAAAAACATTCTTGTATCATTCTTTTTTTTTTTTTTTTTTAACTTAGTTTTTATTAAGTTTAAGATATCACAGCTTGTACATTATAGTCAGTTGTAAGGTTAGGGTTAGGTTGCTTTATTTGTAGGTAAATTTGCTTTGCAAATTTGAGAGGCAGATTCAACATTTTACATTTCACTCATCCACAAAACACGTAAAAACACACAATTACATAATAAAGTGTTACAGAGCTCCAGTGCAGAAAAGTTTGTTCTGTAAACAATTAGTTAAATTCATTCGCGCTCGGCTAAAATCACAATAAATATTAAATATATAAAAACACACAATCTTAGATAAATGGATTACAATTTATTCATAAGTACGACAGCAGCTGGAACAAAGCTAATTTTAAACAATTCGTTCTAGATCTTGGGACTAAAAGTCTCTGACCAGAGGGAAGCAGCTGAAACTCTGAGTTTAGTGGATGTTGCTCATCTTTTAAAATCCTCTGGGACATTCTCTGTAACTGTCTCGAGTCCCGAGAGTCCAGGCAGCTCTGAGGACAAAGCTGGTTACATTTATGTTAGAATACATTTAGAGGGAGTACGTCGAGAGGAGCCAGTTGAGGCTCGGGCATCTGTTCCGGATGTCTCCTGGGCGTCTCCCTCGGGAGGTGTTCCGGGCATGTCCCACCGGGAGGAGGCCCCGGGGAAGACCCAGGACACGCTGGAGGGACTGGAGGCTGCTGCCCCCGCGACCCGGCCCCAGATAAGCGGACGAAAATGGATGGATGGACAGTACATTTAGAAACCAACCAGTTATACATTTACAATAATATTACCGTGTTTTCCTCACTATTAGTTGCTCTGGATTATGAGGTGCACTGTCATTAAATGGTCTATTTTCGGACTTTTTTCACAAATAAACTGTGTGGGACTTTAAATGAAACCCAACAGTGTGATGGGTGAGTGGTTTTGTTTGTTTGTTCGTTCACGGTGACTCTGGGCTTTGTTCAGTTGTGGCGTGTAGGGAGGGTGTGTCTGGGACCAACGGATTGTCGGCGTGTTCGCAGTGACTCATTTGTTCAGTCGTGTCTAGAAGTGGCACATTGCGCTCGCTTTTTCGGTTCGTTCCTCCGTTCCGTTCCTCGTCGGCGTGGAGTGATGAGTGTGTCTGTGGGTGTGTTTCTCTGTGCGGTCTCTGTCTGCTCCGTGTGTGTTTGTGTGTTCTGTGGGTGGTGTGTGTTTGTAGTTTACTGAGGTCTTGCTGGGACACCCGAGTGGATTCGTGTACAGGGCGCTCTGGATTGCAGGGCGCGCGGTAATTTTTTGATGCGGTTAGAGACTTGAGAGCGCGACTAATAGCCCGGAAAATACGGTAGTTTGTTTTTTTCCTGCTTTCCTCCTTTGTTTTGATGTGAACGGAGCATGTGTCCCTCTGATTGGTTAATCCACCTGTCAATCATATCTTCTGGACTCGGAGATACAGCTTCGGACCCACTCGATTTTGTAAAGTTCTGTCTAAGAATGCGGTTTTTGCACAGAATGAACAAAATTAACTACTGTTTAATAAAGTTAGGATCCAGTTAGTGATGAAATAAACCTGAAACCGTTCTGTGTTTAACCTGCAGTTCCTCTTTCAGACAGAGGAGGCGCCGTCCTGACATCCCTGGTGGACTTTTACCTGGAGACCTTTTCCTCTCAGGCCGTTTCTCTGCTGTCGACCGTCAGGGAGCAGCTGCACAAGGTAAACGCACCCGTAAACTCCCTCAGCCAATCAGAGAAGAGCTGCGCAAAGCTGCACTGTGTCACTTTTCTGGTAGAGAGTCTGTCAAATGCTTTTCTCCATAAAGAGGTTATTGCTTTGCCTGAAATGTTCCACAGTATGGCATTAAACCTTTTTATCTTCACGGAGACAAACCAGGCCAAGTTACAGGTGAGGTCTGTGGAGAGGCGACTCCGCTCACACTCACAACGTCTGTTTTTTGAGGTATTTTTGAGCTTTAAAACCACCTGTAATTGAATAAATGTAAAGTAGAGCTGTTTAAAGTCACACTGCGGAACATTGCAGGCAGAGCAATGACATCTCCATCGAAACAGGCACGAACGAACCAGAAAAGTTATACAATGCACCTTTAACATGTTTTATAAGTTTCACTTTTGGTTGAAAACTCCAAAAAAAAAAAGGATAAAACTCTCCTCTTGAAAATGTTATTTTTAAAGGGCCCTTCTTATGCCAAATCAACTTTTCAGAGTTTTCTACCTTCTAAGGCTGCGTTCAGACTGCAGCCTGAAGTGACCCAAGTCAGATTTTTTGGCCTCTATGTTCCTGTATCTGAACTTTTAATGACAGTGTGAACCACACAGATCGGATTTTTTTCAAATGTGACCCAGGACACTTGGATATGTGCTCCTGAAACTGATACATGTCTGATCTTTTGACTTGTGACTTCAGTCTGAGCGGCCAAAGTGCATTCATCCACCTACACGTTATCAACAAGACACAAACGTCACTATTCTGCGCTGAAGTAGGCGAAAATTGTTAATGAACTCCATGTCACTGAAGTGAAGCACATCACCACTCACCACAAAACACCACGACCAAAAACCTCGTCCTTCTCCTTCTCAATCTGCTCCTTAAAACAAGTAAGTTGTTCATGTTCTGGCTCCGGTACGAGAGGAACTTTAAAATCTCCAGGTGCTCGATGCTGCGTCCATGTTTGGACAACTTCTGTAAACACAGAGACGCTCGCTGCGGTTGACGTCGTCGTGTCTCCAGTGTCACATGTGGGACACTATCGGGCCGTTTAATGTTCACACTGGAGTCACATACAAGTCACATTTAACTGGAAATGTGAACGACCTCGAAAAAACATCGGATTTCACAAAAAAATCTGAATTGAGCGTTAAGCCCTGCAGTCTGAACGTAGACTAAGAGTGATGTGTGGTACTTGCTTCTTTTATTATGTTGTTTTAATTCAATATTGCAATTTAAAGTGTCCAATAAATGTCAAGAAATGTCAAATATAACATGAAGATCCACAGGTGTCATAGATTCTAATTATATAACAGACAAAAGCACAATCTTTCTTTTTTTTAACTCTTAACTCTGCACATAGTTCACCTGTTCTGTTTTCGAAGGCGCTGCTGGAGAAGCTAAACGATGCTCTGAATAAATCTGCGTCGCGTCTGGCCGCTCTGTCGCTGCTGGGCCACCTGACGAGGAAGCAGCCGTCGTGGGTTCACCTGGTCACGCGCTGCCCCCTGCTGGCCTCCTTGCTGCGCTGCCTCAAGGTCTGTGCACACAACCAGCTCACAGCCTCCGCACTCACCGCTGTCGGGCGACTTACTTCAAAACTCGAATGTGTTATTTATTTATTTATTTATTCATGACGCGTTCCTGCCATTTCAAAGTTGAAAGTGATTCGTTACATTAAAATATTACTGTGTTTGAAATAGAAAACTTTACACGACTATTACAGAACTTTAACTCTCAACAAAATAACTGTGCTGGAACTTTTGCACCGTACATGGACTAAACCAGGTCTACACGAGGTCTGAACCAGGACTAAACCAGAACTAAACGAGGTCTGAACCAGGACTAAACCAGAACTAAACCAGGACTGAACCAGAACTAAACCAGAACTAAACCAGGACTGAACCAGGCCTGAACAAGGACTAAAGCAGGACTAAAGCAGGACTAAACCAGGACTAAACCAGGTCTAAACCAGGTCTAAACCAGGACTAAACAAGGACTAAAGCAGGACTAAAGCAGGACTAAACCAGGTCTAAACAAGGACTAAACAAGGACTAAAGCAGGACTAAACCAGGTGTAAACAGGGACTAAAGCAGGACTAAACAAGGACTGAACCAGGACTAAACCAGGACTAATCTTGGACTAGGACTTGGACTGTAGTTCCGTCCCTGAGTGAACCCTGAGTTCGTGGAGCATAGTGTCTCAAATCTCGATCGGGCGTCGGTTGCTCTTCGTCTCGTGGAGCATGGAGTTCTGCGTTGGTCCTTTCGCCCGCGGTCACCGTTGTGTCCTGATTATTTATGACAGAGCAACTGGAAATCTAACATGTACCACTTGTCGCTTTGGTTGTCACCTGCTAAACCTCCAAATATTTCCTATCTAATCCTCCTGTTGACTAAAGGAACGATCTGGTGACTCATGATGCTTTGGACAAAGAACAGACTGAACTTCTGTTTATTCTTCATGTTAAAGAGAAAGTGTGAGCAGTAACTCTGGTGTATGTTTGATTCAGACTGACGGTGACGCTGTAGTCCTGTCCACTGGAGTCCTGGTGCTGGTCACTCTGTTACCCATGATCCCTCACTGCGGGAAGCAGCTCGTCTACGATTTCTTCGATGTGTTTGGGCGTTTGGCCTCGTGGAGCCTCAGGAACCCAGGTAAAATAAATATACAAATCAGAACTCTGCCACGGGCCTCATTTATAAATCTCACTTACGCACAAATCCTTGCGTACGCGCTCTCTACGCCAACCGCGGTATTTATGAACCTCAACTAAAGTGTGGCACTTTGTTTAACTCTACACCAACTGGGGACCTCCTGTAAACTCCACACAAAGTCTCGAGACACGTGGAAAAAGCAACACTCGTGGAGAGGATCTAGAAGTAAAGAGTTTGATGAGGAATTTATCTGAAAATCCACTTATATAAAAGAATTACCTTCAGTTTTGTGCATTTAAGTGTTTAGTTCGCCAAAACACAGAGAACCGCTGTTTATTCCACTCACTATTCTCCACAATATTATACATTTGAAACTTGTGCATGAGTGCTGCCACGTTCCCATTCTATGTCCTTTTAATATCTCGTGAAAGTTGCCCATAGAATATAATTGGTCGTGTTGTTTTGTTTTACAGCTCAGGTGCCTGTGCTGCAGCTGCTCCACCTGCAGGGGGCGCTCTACTCGCTCTTCCACAGACTCTACGGCATGTTCCCTGTAAACTTCCTGTCCTATCTGCGGCTGCACTACAGCATGAAGGAAAACACGGACACCTTCCACCGAGTCGTCAAGGTCTGAGCTCACAGAGAAACCGGAGCTTCTGGTGTAAACAACGATCCAGAGATCAGATTCAGGAGACAGTATTTATGTTCCTACTCTGTTTACTGTGTTACTATTAAAGTATTGTAGTGTTTTTGGGGATAGTTGGTGTATCAGGTGACTCATGTGAACTGCACAGATACTGATGTGTGTGTTTGTTTTAGCCCATGTTGGATCACGTCAGAGTTCACCCAGAACTGGTCACAGGAACTCAGGACCAAGAGCTGGACCCCACCAGGTAAAACTCTGCTCCTCTCAGATATTCTTATCATAGACCCGTCGCAAGGTTGGACGAGTGAACGATTAGTGTTAACAATCTGTGTGTCATTCGTTCATTTGTTTTTTCAAAATAAAAACAAAAATAAAAAAACAAAAAAACAAAAACTATTTTCTTCATTATTTGTCTCCAAAACCAAAATGAAAAAAACAGATAATGATTTGTTTTTTTCAAACCAGGACTAAAGCAGGACTCAAACGGGTCCGGGACCAGACCAGATCCAGGACCAGGACTGAGACCTGGACTGAGGCCGAGACCAGACCAGGACTAGACTGTGATTGAGACCGGGAGCAGACCGGGACCAGACCAGGAACGGACTGGGACTGGGACTGAGACTGAGACTGGGACTGGGACTGAGACCGGCACTGAGACCAGAACTGAAAATAGTTTAGTCCTGGTTTAGTCCATTATCCATTTTTTCCATTTTTCATTTAAACACAAAATCGAAAAATGAAAAAAACGTATCATTATCTGTTTTTCATTTTGGTTTTGGAGACAAATACCGAAGAAGCTGTTTTTCTGTTTTTGGTTTTATATTGAAAAACAAATGAAAGAATGACACACAGATTGTTACCCTCGGCTCCACCTTACCTCTGCTGTAGTCGCTCTCGCTCTGAGCTCGGTTCTTTCACTCAGGACGTTGTGTTTCTGTCGTGTGTAGAAGTTGATCTCTGTGCTCTTCAGGTGGAGGCGTTTTGAGGTCCATGACATCGTGATGGAATGTTCTCGTTTGTCTCTGGACCCTCTGGAAGCGTCTAGTGAAGACCTGCTGTACTGCTCCTCCTCCTCCCTTCCCACTGTGCCCTCTGTGCCCACTCTGCCCGCTGTACCCACTGTACCCGCCGTGCCCTCTGTGCCCGTCACTGAGGGGGAGAGCAGCCCAACCACGTCCCTGCAGGTAACTGTTGTTCTGTGATTTCTGCCTGGGCACAGACGTTCACTGTGTTTTGAGCGCCTGGAAGGTAGAAAAGCACAATATAAATGTGAACCGTTTATAATGTTTATTTATTCTAGAGTCTCTGCTGCAGTTTAATCAAATGTTTTCATGATCTGAGAAAGAGAATTTTGAACAGATGTGAAAGAACCCAAAAACCCTCAACGGCCTCGTGGCCAGTTAATGTGTCCATTTACACGTCACAAATATGAACCCTGTGTGTGTGTGTGTGTCTGTGTGTGTGTGTGTGTGTCTGTGTGTGTGTGTGTGTATGTGTGTGTCTGTGTGTGTGTCTGTGTGTGTCTGTTGTGTGTGTGTGTGTGTCTGTGTGTGTGTGTGTGTGTGTGTGTGTGTGTGTGTGTGTGTGTCTGTGTGTGTGTGTGTGTGTGTGTGTGTGTGTGTGTGTCTGTGTGTGTCTGTGTGTGTGTGTGTATGTGTGTGTCTGTGTGTGTGTGTTGTGTGTGTCTGTGTGTGTGTGTGTGTGTGTGTGTGTGTGTGTGTGTGTGTGTGTGTGTATGTGTGTGTCTGTGTGTGTGTGTGTGTCTGTGTGTGTGTGTGTGTGTGTCTGTGTGTGTGTGTGTGTGTGTGTGTATGTGTGTGTGTGTGTGTGTGTGTGTGTGTCTGTGTGTGTATGTGTGTGTCTGTGTGTGTATGTGTGTGTGTGTGTGTTGTGTGTGTTGTGTGTGTCTGTGTGTGTTGTATGTGTGTGTCTGTGTGTGTGTGTTGTGTGTGTCTGTGTGTGTCTGTGTGTGTGTGTCTGTGTTGTGTGTGTGTGTGTGTGTGTGTGTGTGTCTGTGTGTGTGTGTGTGTGTGTGTTGTGTGTGTGTGTGTCTGTGTGTGTGTCTGTATGTGTTTGTATGTGTGTGTGTGTCTGTTGTGTGTGTGTGTCTGTGTGTGTGTGTGTCTGTGTGTGTGTATGTGTGTGTCTGTTGTGTGTGTGTGTGTTTGTGTGTCTTTGTGTGTGTGTTCAGGCTGTCGATCTGGACTGGAGTCCTTCGTCTCACTGCGGCATGTCCACGCCTCCACCTGAAAGACACGCCCCCTCCTCACCAGGCCCCGCCTCCTCGACACCAAGCCCCGCCCTTTTGACTCCAGGCTCCACCCCTTCCACCGCAGGCCCCTCCTCTTCCACACCAGGCCCCGCCCCCTCCACTCCAGGTAATCACATAATCCCTTTTTTACTTATACTTGGGATCAGTGGGCCTCATTCATGAATCTTTTCCTTAAAAATGTTCGTAAGTTCTTTAAGAAGAAGCTGAGAGACTCTACCCCAGATTCACAAAACATTCTTAAGCAGCCGGATTCCTTCTTAACCCACTGATGCCGGATGCTGCGCTCTGCAGCACTGAGTCTCCTGTCGGTGTCTGGATTGTCTGATGATCAGTGTAACTGGTAAAGGCGGAGCCACATCTGGAAGCATGGGGGGCGTGTCCTCCTCTCGCTTCCATTCACTCCCATAGAGACGCAAAACTGCCAGAGCTGTACTGTCACGTTAAACCTTCTGTATCGTGGCGTATTATTTCCCCATTGAAAAATAATCCAAATGTTTCCCGCACATGTTCCCATCAAGACCTGGTTTGAAGTAACAAACGTTGATCTTTACTGCAGCGCAGTAAAGATCAACCACTTGATCTGGTGGCTGTTCCAGACGCTCCTATAACAGGTGCCATATCACTGTGTCGTGTATAGGGATGGGCATGATTAGTCGATTAATCGATAATTGATCATTAAGAATTTCATCGATTACGTAAATTTTAATTGACAAACATGAATGCAGGTTGCTGTGTGTGTCGTGACCAAACAGGTGTGTACATGTGTCTCTGCATCAGAAGGAGCGAGACACAAACAATCAGTCCGCCTGCAACGTACCGAAGTGTATATGCGTATTTAACGATGATTTGTACAAGAAATTCCACACTTTCCGTTGCGTTGGGACAAGTGTGAGTCCATGTGCACAGTGGATAAAGCAGCACATATGTTTCTGTGTCCAGTGGGAAAAAGTTTTTCCAGGTGAGAGTCGCTCAATGTGGATGACGAGGCCCCGCCCCCCTCCCCCCGTACGCTGTCCTGGTTTTGACAAACACAAATCTGGTCACACTGACCTGTATTCACCTGAGTCGTGTCTTTTAATCCAACACAAGTTGAACCACATCAGCGACACAAGAGCTGGAGTTTTATCTTCACTTAATTTATGTAAATTAGTGATGTGGTTTTAAGTTTTGTTTCTGTGAGATTTGAACAAAACTGAATTAAACACATTATAATAAACGGGCTGATGTGGCTCCGGTTGTTAAGGTTTATTTGTCGTTAAGTTGAATTTATTTATGCAGATTAGAAGTGCAGATAATAATAATAATGATGATCATTTTAATATAAAAACGTTAATGATTAATCGATAATCAATCATTACTTCTCTCGACGATCGATTAAGAAAATTTCATCGAATGCCCCTAGTCCTTAGTCGTGTAACAAATAAACATGGTCAAGCACAAAAATGTTGTGCTTGACCCTGGACAACAAACGGGCAACATTTTTGTGCTTCAATGGGTTAAGTGACAGCTGCTCTGAATTCACCAACACCTCAGCTACGAACACCTCTACGCTCGTTTACGTTTCATTTACATAGAAAATCAAAATGTATTTGGTTAGAAACGACCTCTGAACTTCCAGATTTGGCCAATATGGGTTTGACATTCTGACGTGTGAAAGTGTGAGGGAGAAAGTGTCTGAGGAAGTCAGGTGGAGCGTCTACAGTCTACAGCTGTTTTAAAGCTTCAGCTGTGATCTCAAATGTCCAAACTCACTTGAACAAACTCAGGGAGGAAGATTTAAGTCATAAATGTATTGAAATAAGCAGACGGTTTTGTGGTATTTATTGAGCTTTCCACGATCATGGACCGGTGGTAAATACAGAGGGGGGGGCTGGGGTGGGGGGTGGGGGTGCATAAGTGTATGCTCTGGTTATGGGGGGTCAGGGCATGACGGTGGGTGATGTTGGTGTTGAGTCCAGCGCAGTGTCTAGGCTCAGGGCTGTGACAGAGGCTCATATGGAGGCACTGGGGCTGGGACAGACTGAGGCTCACTGCAGCCAGGAGAAAGTCTGTTAGACCAGGGCTTCTTAACCTTTTCAATCTTGGGGCCTGACTTTTTCTGAACAAAGTAAACTGGGGCCCTCTCTCATATTAAGTGCGTTATATTGTACTGATTGTGGGGCCCCCAAGGTGGTGGTCCCAGCCCTACTTTGGCTACGTTCAGACTGCAGCCTGAAGTGACCCAAATCCGTTTTTTTGGCCTCTATGTTCCTGTATCTGATCTTTTAATGACCACACAGATCTGATTTTTTCAAATGTGACACAGGCCACTTGGATATGTGCTCCTGAAACTGATACATATCTGATCTTTTGTCGTGTGACTTCAGTGTGAACGGTCAGGTCCACCACTCACCACTCTTGGCTCCGTCTCCACATCCACACGTTCCTTTCAACGGACTGAACCACAAAACACCACGACCAAAAACCTCGTCCTTCTCAATCTCCTCCTTAAAACAAGTAAGTTGTTCATGTTCTGGCTCCGGTACGAGAGGAACTTTAAAATCTCCAGGTGCTCGATGCTGCGTCCATGTTTGGACAACTTCTGTAAACACAGAGACGCTCGCTGCGGTTGACGTCGTCGTGTCTCCAGTGTCACATGTGGGACACTTTCGGGCCGTTTAATGTTCACACTGGAGTCACATACAAGTCACATTTAACTGGAAATGTGAACGACCTTGAAAAAACATCAGATTTCACAAAAACATCGGAATTGGGCGTTAAGCCCTGCAGTCTGAATGTAGACTTAGAGTCCCGACCCTGTGGTTAAGAATCACTGTGTTAGACTCAATAGACACTGGATCTATAAAACTCCTCATAAGTGTTACTGCATCATACAGTCATATGTTTATAGGAGATAATTTAAGAAAATATATAAATTACATTCATGGAGGAATTACAATTTTTTGGTGCATTATCAAAGTAATAATATTCTAAAACTGTAGAATTTTTGTTCTTACTAGTGCTCCTGACTGTTTGTAGGATTTTTTCAATTTTCAGTTAAGACAAAGTTTTGTGAATGCCAAAAATGACCTTAAGTACAAATTTGTTTCTAAGAACGTTTCATGAATGAGGCCCAATGTTTATCTAATGCCGCTCATTCATCTCTGGCTCTGTGCAGTTGTGGCATCACCCTTCCAGGCTTCCGTACCTGTAGCTCCGCCCCCTGAGCTCTCACCTGTCTCCTGCGACCTCCAGGTTCAATTAAACTAAATCAGACTTTACCTACTTTTGTGTGACATAAATGAACTCTGAATGTTTTTTTTCCCCATCAGCAGCAGCAGCACAAGCAGCCAATCACAGATCAGGATGGACAGAGTGATGTCACGAAGCCCCGCCCCCCGACACACCACTCCATCCCTGACCAATCGTACGAGGCGCTTTTTGAACTGGCCCTGCCTCGAGCGGCGCCGCTGTTTGTGGCCAAAAAACAAAGGTTAGTCACTATTTTATTCTTTTTCTAATTATCTCTTGGTTTGGTGGATAATACCTTTGGTGAATATTTATCAGTTTTTTTTATCAGTTTGTGAAGAAAAGTAGAAAAAAGTAAGGACGTAAGGAAGTAGCTGTGAGTTCTAAAACAGAATCACTCTAAATACGTCATCAGTGGCCATTTTTTGGGTGGTTTGTTTGTTTGTTTAAATTTTTTTACCTTTATTTCACCAGGAGGTCCCATTGTGATTGAGAATCTCTTGCAGCACAATCAATACAAAACAGTAAAATCACAAAGTGTCACGTTACAAAACCATTTACATCTCTCAAGCAAGTGATACCACAGATTGTAATTTAAGGTTTTTCAGTAAATGATTCCAGGACCATGGAGCTGTAGGAAAAGTCAGATTTTCCAGCTCAGAGAAGCACTGATGAAGTTTTCCCTGTATGGCTTTGTGAATAAATATTAACCACTGCTGTTTTTCCATAACAACAGAAAGAAATGCTGTTTCCACACGATTTTTCGTAGCACTGAAAGAAAAGAAAAGTTTGTGTCTAAAATAGAAACCATAGTCACACTTTTTGGGGGAGACCAGGAGCCTCGACCTCCGGAGGTAAACAGAGCGTCGCTTCCTCTTCTGTGTCGCTGTCGTCAGACTCAGCATCAGTTCCAGTTAGAATTATTCGGGTCTTTCTGAATCTCGACAGGATGGTTTCGGTGTCACTGAAGTCCAGACTTTGTCCATCCATCCAGTGACTTCAGGAAAGTTTCATGGTGCATCCTCCCGGTGTCACAAGTTTCTCTCTCACTCCAAACTTTCTTTCTGCTGCTCGATTTCCGTTTTCAGCTGCAGATTTCACGACTTGCTCAGTAGAGCCAAGTGATAGTGGTACAGGAGGAACAGGAGCAGCAGATAAGACTAGAGCCTCTCGCCGCTTCAGTGTGAAAAATTTTATATATAAGTCACATGAAACACCCAAACCATGAAAAAAGTGTGACTTGTAGTCTGAAAAATAGAGTAATATGAAGCAATGGACATTTTGACAAACCTCTGTGTATCTCATTTCTTCTGCTCGTGTCCAACCTTCATCTGCACTTCAAGTCTAAAGTAGGATGAACGTGGTCTAAACCAGTTCTAATTCAGGACTGACCTAAGACTAAGATGGTACTTGGTAAATGGTCACATTTTTATACAGCACTTTTTAGACCTTCAGGGCTCAAAGCTCTTTACAACAAGGAACCACTCACACACCAGTACACACACACACACACACACACACACACTAGGGGCGAAGTGGGTGAAGTGTCTTGCCCAAGGACTCAACTACAGCATTCATCTGTGGGAGCGGGATTCAAAGTGCCAACCTTCTTTCCACGTTCCTACCAACTGAGCTGCTGTCAGATTGAGCCTGTCCTGTGTGTGTCCTGCAGGAGGCGCTGCAGAGAGCAGAGCTGGACCACAGTCCTGTGTCTCCTCTGGAACTTCTGGACCAACTGAAACCAGTCCAAGACCTGCTGATCCTGCAGGGAGACCACGCCCACCAGCAGCTGCTCAGGTCAGTCTGGACAAGGCCTCTTGTGAGAATAACTCATTATAATATCATCTACACGACCAGGAATTTATGGAGCAAAGAAAAAAAAGTTTAAAATCCTTTATTACTCGAAACTGACTCTTGTGAGCTTTAAGTCAGGTTATAATGTTGTTTCCTCATCAAAAACAGACCTGGAGTTGTGTTTTGTTTCATTCACATGTTTGAGTAACTTTTCAGTATTACTCTGTCTACATTTCCAAAGCTCAAAATGTTCTGTTCCACCTTGTGATGTCGTGAAGTGGTCGTTTTCAACAGCTCCTTTTGCCTTTAGTTCAGTAAAGATCGGCAGTTACATCAAAATTATTCTAGTGAAGGTGTATGCAGTTTAAAAACACTGTGGAGCACTTCCTGTATTCCTGCATGACATCACAAGGTGGAGAGAAGAGGTCAGCCTAAATGTGCAGGGTTTGTGTGTTAAACATGTGTGAATGAAACAAAAAAACACAACTCCAGGTCTGTTTGTGACGAGGAAACAACACTAGAACAGATCAGAAAATAGAGTCAAATTAACCCTTTAAACTAAACTAAATAGTTTTCTATTTTTATTCAAATTCCTTATATAAATTTTTTTTGTTTACTACAGTCCGTGTGTTCATTCACAGTTTTGGTGCCTTCAGTGAGAATCTACAGTGTAAATAGTCATGAAAATAAAGAAAAATCTAACACAGAAGTTTGACTGTCAATCTGACATCATCAGAAATCACTCACACACCACTTTCAAAGAGGAGGCACGAGGGCACGAGGGCACGAGGGCACGAGGGCACGAGGGCACGAGGGCACGAGAGCACGAGGGCACAGAGGGCTGGGGCAGAGTCCTGCACCAGGTCGGGTGTCCGCAAATAGTTGCTAAAACAGATGGATTTTAATGTTGTGTAATTTTCCAGGCGGGTGTGCAGGAGGATCAGGTGAATCAAGTGATTGACCAGGAACGACTAAAACAATTAGCGGAGGTGATTGTCTCAGAGGCTGTCCTCCTGGTTTAGACCTGGTTCAGTCCTGGTTAAAATCCTGGCTCAGACCTGGTTTTAGACCTGGTTTAGTCCTGGTTTAGAACTGGTTCTGTCCTGGTTCAGACCTGGTTCAGACCTGGTTCAGACCTGGTTTCAGACCTGGTTTGGACCTGGTTTAGTCCTGGTTTAGACCTGCTTTAGTCCTGCTTTAGTCCTGGTTTAGACCTGGTTTGGACCTGGTTTAGTCCTGCTTTAGTCCTGGTTTAGAACTGGTTTGGACCTGGTTTAGTCCTGCTTTAGTCCTGGTTTAGAACTGGTTGGGACCTGGTTTAGTCCTGGTTCAGTCCTGGTTCAGTCCTGGTTTAGTCCTGGTTTAGAACTGGTTCAGTCCTGGTGTAGTCCTGCTTTAGTCCAGCTTTAATCCTGGTTTAGTCCTGGTTCAGTCCTGGTTTAGTCCTGGTTTAGAACTGGTTCAGTCCTGGTGTAGTCCTGCTTTAGTCCAGCTTTAATCCTGGTTTAGTCCTGGTTCAGTTCTGGTGTAGTCCTGGTATACACGCAACAACTGCAGAGCTGATCACATTTATAATCTGCTAATGACTTGGCGCAGGTTTAGTCCTGGTTTAGTCCTGGTTTAGACCTTGTTTAGACCTGGTTTAGTCCTGGTTTAGTCCTGGTTTAGTCCTGGACCATTTGGCTGTCGGACTAACGGTCTGACCCCGATTTATCACGGGCACAGGCGCGGAACGGGTGGAATCATCATCATCATCATCTTTATTTCGGACTCAGGGTCCATTAAAAAAGGACAGTGACAAAACAATAAACACTCATGTTTTTAAAAGACGACAAACACCAGTGTCTCCACATGTTGGACTGATCTCTTATTGCACTGAATCTCAAATTTGTGAGTGACATTATTATTTCATTGTCTGATTTGTTCAGTCTGCAAATAAAACTGTACATTAAAATTCTTAGTGCAGCCTGCAAAGTTTTCCTTCGAGCAGTAACAAACATTTCAGTCGCACTCGTCCATCGTGGCTCCTCAAAAGCACCCGTAAAGCGTCACTGAGTGCGTATACATGCACATCAATAACCCGGTTATGATTGGGTTTTTTGAGTATCCCGGCTTCTTGATGGTGCATGTAAACGCAGTAACCCGGTTTCAGTAACCCGGTTATGGCAGTATCCCGGTTATTAGAAACCAGGTTACTGTAGCTGGTTTATTCCGATAGTAACCGGGTTACTTGTGGCATGTAAACGCAGTACCCCGGTTACTGCAACATAAAGTTGAGTCACATGCGTCCAAAAGACACTTTCCAGCCTTTCACCACAACAGTAGTGACATAAATAAATTGACCAATATAAATAAAGTGACCAAACGAGTGAAATGACTGTAAAATAAGAGCTGCGCTAAACCTGCGCTAAACCTGCACATGTACAACCTGCACTCGTACGACCTGCACTCGTGTGACGCTGAAAAGCTAAAACATGAACTATCTCCTGTTACTGTATATGCACGGAACACACTTACCATCATCAGCGCCTCTTCTGTCACAGAAATAACACACATAATCCACAGAGTCGTGTCATTTAGTCCAAAAGAAACTGATCGCATCAGCGGCACAAGGAGCGAGTTGTTTTTATCGCCGCTAACAGTTTATGCTAATTAGCCTACGGTCTTAAGTTTCGTTTCTGTAAAACGTAAACAAATGTGATCAGAGCTGAATTATCTGATCAAACGGGCTGATGTGTCTATAGTGTTTATGGTTTATATGTTGTAAAGTTGAGTTTATTTATGCAGAAGATTTGAATGAAGAATCTGCACAGTGGATTGTGGGAGATCTCGTAGCTCCTTAGCTTCTTATGCTAAAGGAGCTCACGGTTTGTATTTTTCCTGGTTTATGAAATTGATTTAAGTTAATTTTTGCGCCTGCGCATTTGTAAGATTATGTCAAGAAACCGGGATACTCCATTTGATCATGTACACGCGGATATGAGTGTCCCGGTTTCTCAGTGCTCATGTAAACACAGTAACACGAACACTGACAGAACCGGGATATGGACAATAACCGGGTTATTGATGTGCATGTATACACACTCACTGTAAGCACCTGCAGTCTTTGCAAACTGGCTTTTTTATAATGAGTCCAGAGGTGAGCTGTGTACAACGGTGAACAAGAACCAAATGAATGTTAACGGGTCTGGGCAGGTATGGATTTAACTTTAATATAATCACGGGTTTGCGGTGGCGGGTGCGGGCGGGTGCGGGTCTCCAAAAATGGACCCGTGCAGGACTCTGGGCTGGGACAGAACCGTCTCTTCTCCAATTTATCTTTGTGTTTTTCAGATCGGCCATGAACAAGAGTTTGGACCGCAGCTCTACAGGTGAAGTCCACAACGCAAACACAAAAGACACTCTAAAGCTGCACTCTGTAACTTTTCACCAGCTTGTTTCTATGGATACGTCATTGCTCTGCCTGGAATGTTCCACAGTGTGACTTTAAACAGCTCTACTTTACATTTCTTTCAATTACAGGTGGTTTTACAGCTCATAAATACCTAGAAAAACAGCTGTAACTTGGTCTGGTTTGGTCTCCATGGAGATAGAAAGGTTTAATGCCACACTGTGAAACATTCCAGACAAAGCAATAACATCTCCATGAAGAAAAGTTACACAATGTTGTTTCCTCATCACAAACAGACCTGGAGTTGTGTTTTTTTTGTTTTGTTTTTTTGTTTGTTTGATTGACAGATGTTTCCCGTGTCTCTTGTCCAGGCCCCGCCCCTCTGGCCCCCTCCATAGCGCCCCCTGCAGTGTCAGTGGAGGAGCTGAGCATTGAGCTGCTGCTGGTTCAGAATCAGCTCCAGTTCGAGAGGTTCAAGAGGCAACAGCACGCCATGAGAAACCGCAGACTTCTGAGGAGAGTGATCCAGACCACAGCCCTGGAGGAGCAGCTCAACGCCATGGTGAGGCCAGAGCTCGAGTTAACGCTTTCCCCCCTGGACGCCGACTAGGAACAACCCACACATGATTATTTTACTTAGGGATCTTACCTCTACTACACATAGAGCATCACTGCATAAAAGAAAACAGACTTCCACGAGTGATTATAAATAAATTTTACACTCATGAACTTAATTGTAACACAGACATATTTGGTATCTCAGGAAACCTTAGACTTTGAATTGTTCATTTATGGATGTTTAAATGTGATTCAGTTCATTTACAGGTTTATAACAGCTCACTGAAAATGAGAGTTTACCTGGTCAGGTGCAAAATCGAAAACAAAAAACTACATTCAGGATTTGATATATGCATGTTCTGAGTACTATATTCATAAAAAAATTAAAAATATACTTTGTCAAAGTATTTAAACAGATTTCATATCAGCAGATACAGTATAACCAAGTGTGCACCTGTTTTTACCTGTTGTTCACCTGTGTGCACCTCATTCATTTTTTCCATTTAGCTTATTTAACTTATTTAATTTATTCAACTCATTTAGCTTATTTAACTAATTCAGCTTATTATAATATAATAATATAATAATAAAACTCTTCCCCGTCAGTGGGTGTTCAGTATTTGTCATCTTGGCTATTTTCTCATGTGCAGAGCTCCACATGAGCGTTTTTTCTGTAGTGATTCTGTTATACATCGCATCTTGGAAAAAACGACTGAAATATTTTAAAGGACTCGCCTGGGCAACATCCAGATTTCAGGGCAATTTTGGTTCATAATCGAGTATAAAGCCCTGATAGTTTGTTCTGATATCGCAGGACTCCACACAGACGCATCACTGACATTCTCATCTTCATAAGTTTCACTCTCTGTAAGTCCGTCGCTGTCGCTGTTTTCCACTTTATAATCAACTTCATCATCACTTTGAAATCTATAAAAGTCACTTTCTCTAAACTTATCCATAAAATACGTCCACTCCTCATTATTTCTAAAACTGTGCGCCGCAGCGCCGCGATCTTTCCATTGCAAGTGTTTCGTGTTGTGTTTTTTCCGGAAGCGACAATCGTCACTACTTCGATTAACTTCGGAAAAAATCGGCGAAAACATATCCTTGAATCCTATTGGTCAGTCTAGTGTGGGTTGTAGTGGCCCCGACCTATCACAGTCTCTGTTTACATGTGAAAAACCGAGCCATTTCTAAAGGTCGTCAAATCACGTCTTTAGTGAAACAGCGAAGGAGTCAAAAGACGTCATTTAAAGGTTGTATGGAGAATTTTTTTTTGTTTCAAATTGTCAATGATAGATTATAGAGATGCAGTAGCCTTGTAATTATGATGACCAAATAAAAGAGAATAAAAATTCATCAACTCTGGACGTGGTGGGGCTAAACATTTGCCAATAGATAACGACACTGCCTCGTTATCTGTGAGCTGACAGGCTGTCAATCAATCTCCCTACGTTTCTAGTGTAACTGACTTGTCTGCGCCGCCGGTACGTGGTTTACGTACGACTGTCACGCAGTCCACAGACGCAAGACGCACAGACGCTGTTTACTCCACCAATGCAACAGTTCTTAGCGGCTTTTTTTGACCTATATCTTCCTCGCAGTTCGCACAAAGTTTGTTGCAATGGCGACAAGAATCCAGGAGCAGTTCGCCGCAAAAGAAAGTCCGTTTTTGAGGTGAAAGAAGAAGACAAGGGGAAAAGCAGCGAAGCCAAACTAAGGTGATTCTTGAAGATTCATTCCAGCGATGGCGCGACTGAAGCAGACGCAGGGTCTAAAGACTGAACGCACTGGTCCACAAATTACTTCCTGGACAGGAAACTTCTGCTTATTATGAAAACGTACTTTATTTCCAAGAGCTAGACAAACGTTTTTCAGGACACGAAAGCGATATCCTATGTCTGAAAACGTAATTTTCAAGGCAAAGAAAGAGTCCGCTTGCTGCTGCGTGTTGTAGCTAGTTCATTCGCACTGAATCTCCGCACACTCTTCTCCCCTTTCCTGCTCCTCTCCCCGCTGCCCGATCCACTCTTCCCCCTGCTCCTCACTTCTCCGGGCACGGAATCTCCGCTCCCCTCTCCTCTCTCCTCTCCCTGCTCCCTGCTCCTCACTTCTCGTCCGCGAACGAAATGTCCGCGCACCCGCTCCCCCCGCTCCTCACTTCTCCGTCTTGTCTAACCAACACTGTAGTTAGTTGTTTACAAGTCATGTGCAGTTCACCGGCTGTAAACAAACCTGTTTCTGGCGTAAGGAGGAGGAGGGAGGAGGTGTTTCTACGTAGGAGCTGGGGGAGGGGAGGTGGTTTCACGCATGCGCAACATTTGAAAAAGGACAAACAGTCGCTGGATTTCTCCTTCCTTGGAAAATCCTCTATACAACCTTTAAGGAAACAGGGGGGGTCGTCAAATGTCGTCTTCATGGGGGAAAGAGTTAAAGAGTAAACAGGTTTGACTGCTCAGTTTACCAAAAAAACGTTAAGATCATTATATTTAAGGTTTTACTGAAGAAATGACAATATGTTCACCAGTTTGGCTGTATCTTTAGGTTTCAAATTTTACTTCTTAGTATCATATTATCATCATATTCGAGAAGAAGTGAAAACTAAGTTACCTGGTCCCTGAAGGGTCGACCAGGTTTTGTATTCACCCTGTGTGTGTGTGTGTGTGTGTCTGTCTGTCCACCCTTGATAATTCCGCTATTTTTGAACCGATTGTCACCAAATTTGGTAAGTGTTTCAAGCCCTCGTGCCCGATGCTGTAAAAATATTTTGGTGAGGATCCGAGGTAATTTGAGGTCACATGGGTCAATTGAAAGGTCACAACGTTATAAAGGATTCGGCAATTTGGGCAATTTCTGAACCATCTGCCGCCTAAAATATTCACCCACACTGGATGTTACAGGTTGAAACCGGTCAAGGTCACTTGAAGGTCAAGGTAACCGAGGTCAAATATGTGTTTTTGGTCATATCTCCGTGAAGGATCGAGCTTGAGCAACGGGAGTGTCTCAAAATCTAAGATAAATTATTGATCTATTTATAATTCTGTGTATTTAAAAATATTAAATATAAATCGTTTTCCAGATAATCACTAATTCTAACAGTTTCTTTCTCTTTCAGTGTAGCCGTTAAAATTAGAACAAAAATCATTTCCATTTCTTGTTTTTCTGGTGAAACACAACACACTGATCTACAGTCACACAACTAACACACACACACAACTCATGACAAATGATATTTTGGTTCCACACTAGTAAACACAGATATTCTCATGTGTGACCAACATCACACTAATGTTCATGGGCCTGTACAGATACACACATTACACTGTGGGTATAATGATCATGTGATATGGGCTGGACGACTCAAACTGCTGCTGTGGTGATGAACTGAACCACCGACGCCTCATGGAGGGTTACTGTCTCTGATTGTGCTTGTTTTTATTGTGACGCTACCCTGTCCCTGACCTGAGCTGTCCTGACCTGACCTGAGCTGTCCTGACCTGAGCTGTCCTGACCTGAGCTGTCCTGACCTGAGCTGTCCTGACCTGAGCTGTCCTGACCTGACCTGAGCTGACCTGAGCTGTCCTGACCTGAGCTGTTCTGACCTGAGTTGACCTGACCTGAGCTGTCCTGACCTGACCTGAGCTGTCCTGACCTGACCTGAGCTGTCCTGACCTGAGCTGTCCTGACCTGAGCTGACCTGACCTGAGCTGTCCTGTCCTGACCTGAGCTGTCCTGACCTGACCTGAGCTGTCCTGTCCTGACCTGAGCTGTCCTGACCTGAGCTGTCCTGTCCTGACCTGAGCTGTCCTGACCTGACCTGAGCTGTCCTGTCCTGACCTGAGCTGACCTGTCCTGACCTGAGCTGACCTGACCTGAGCTGTCCTGACCTGACCTGAGCTGTCCTGACCTGACCTGAGACCTGAGTCCTGTCCTGACCTGACCTGACCTGACTGAGCTGACCTGACCTGAGCTGTCCTGACCTGACCTGAGCTGACCTGACCTGACCTGACCTGACCTGACCTGACCTGACCTGACCTGACCTGACCTGAGGTGACCTGTTCTGTCTTGTCTTGTCCTGTAGAGGGCGCAGGTGGGCGTGCTGGAGGCAGAGTTGCGTTTCCTCAGAGAGAGTCTGGAGGTGGAGCAGATACGTTTCTCTGAGCTGAAGCTTCACTCTGAGACGAGCACGTCCCAGCTGCAGGCGCACATCCAGGACCTGAGCTCCAGCCAGCAGGGGGCGCTGCAGGACAAGGCCCGCCTACAGGTGACATTAGAACATCCAACTGAGTGTTCTCTCGTGTTCCAGAGCGAGCTGAGTGTTCTCTCATGTTCTCTCATGTTCTCTCATGTTCTCTCATGTTCTCTCATGTTCTCTCATGTTCTCTCTTGTTCTTCTCGTTCTCTCATGTTCTCAGAGTGAGCTGAGTGTTCTCTCTTGTTCTCTCATGTTCTCTCATGTTCTCTCCTGTTCTCTCATGTTCTCTCCTGTTCTCTCATGTTCTCATGTTCTCTCGTGTTCTCTCATGTTCTCTCATGTTCTCTCGTGTTCTCTCATGTTCTCTCGTGTTCTCTCGTGTTCTCTTATGTTCTCTCTTGTTCTCTCTTGTTCTCTCGTGTTTTCATGTTCTCTCATGTTCTCTCTTGTTCTCTCATGTTCTCATGTTCCCTCGTTTTCTCTCATGTTCTCGTGTTCTCTCGTGTTCCAGAGCGAGCTGAGTGTTCTCTCGTGTTCTTATGTTCTCTCATCTGTTCTCTCATGTTCTCTCGTGTTCTCTTATGTTCTCTCTTGTTCTCTCGTGTTTTCATGTTCTCTCATGTTCTCTCATGTTCTCATGTTCTCTCGTTTTCTCTCATGTTCTCATGTTCTCTCGTTTTCTCTCATGTTCTCGTGTTCTCTCGTGTTCCAGAGCGAGCTGCTGCAGTGTCAGACGCGGTTGAAGGAGCAGGAGGCGGAGCTTCAGAGAGCCAATCACAAGGCAGATAACGCCCAGCACCAGCTGTCACAACTGTCAATCAAAGTGAGAGCTACTACTACTACTACTACTACTACTACTACTACTACTACTACTACTGCTACTACTACTACTATTACTACTGCTGTTACTGCTACTATTAATGAGGTGTTACCTGTTACCTCTGTGTGTGTGTTATGTGTGTGTGTGTGTTACGTGTGTGTGTTACATGCGTGTGTTACATGTGTGTGTTACATGTGTGTGTGTGTGTGTTACATGTGCGTGTGTTACGTGTGTGTTACATGTGTGTGTTACATGTGTGTGTGTTACCTGTACGTGTGTGTTACGTGTGTGTTACCTGTGTGTGTTACCTGTGTGTGTGTGTTACGTGTGTGTGTGTGTGTGTTACATGTGTGTGTTACCTGTGTGTGTGTGTGTGTGTGTGTGTGTGTGTGTTACGTGTGTGTTACCTGTGTGTGTGTGTGTGTTACCTGTGTGTGTGTGTTACGTGTGTGTGTGTGTGTTACGTGTGTGTGTGTTACATGTGTGTGTTACGTGTGTGTGTGTTACATGTGTGTGTGTGTGTTACGTGTGTGTGTGTGTGTGTTACGTGTGTGTGTGTTACGTGTGTGTGTTACGTGTGTGTGTGTGTTATGTGTGCAGGTGAGCAGTGGGGAGGAGCTCCAGCAGCACCTGTTCCTCATGAACCAACAGCTTCTTCTGCTGCGAGAGTCAAACCGAACCCTGAGCCAAGCCCTGAGCTCCACAAGAAACAGATCTGACATGGTACAGGACACACACACACACCTACAGGACACACACACACACCTACAGGACACACACACACACCTACAGGACACACACACACACACCTACAGGACACACACACACACACACACACACACCTACAGGACACACACACCTACAGGACACACACACACACCTACAGGACACACACACACACACACACCTACAGGACACACACACACACACACACCTACAGGACACACACACACACACACACACCTACAGACAGACACACACACACACACCTACAGACACACACACACACACCTACAGACACACACACACACACACACCACAGGACACACACACACCACACCTACAGGACACACACACACACACACACACACACACACCTACAGGACACACACACACACACACCTACAGGACACACACACACACCTACAGACACACACACACACACACCTACAGGACACACACACACACACACACACACACCTACAGGCACACACACACACACACACACCTACAGGACACACACACACACCTACAGGACACACACACACACACACACACCTACAGGACACACACACACACACACACACCTACAGGACACACACACACACACCTACAGGACACACACACACACACCTACAGGACACACACACACACACACACACACACACCTACAGGACACACACACACACACCTACAGGACACACACACACACACACACACACACACACCTACAGGACACACACACACACACCTACAGGACACACACACACACACCTACAGGACACACACACACACACACACACACACACCTACAGGACACACACACACACACACACACACACACCTACAGGACACACACACACACCTACAGGACACACACACACACACACACACACACACCTACAGGACACACACACACACACCTACAGGACACACACACACACACACCTACAGACACACACACACACACACCTACAGGACACACACACACACCTACAGGACACACACACACACCTACAGGACACACACACACACCTACAGGACACACACACACACACACACACACACACACACACACACACACCTACAGGACACACACACACACACACACACACACACCTACAGGCACACACACACACACACACACACCTACAGGACACACACACACACACACACCTACACACACACACACACACCTACAGGACACACACACACACACCTACAGGACACACACACACACCTACAGGACACACACACACACACACACACACACACACACACCTACAGGACACACACACACACACACCTACAGGACACACACACACACCTACAGGACACACACACACACACACACACACACCTACAGGACACACACACACACACACACCTACACACACACACACACACACACACACTACAGGACACACACACACACCTACAGGACACACACACACACACCTACAGGACACACACCACACACACACCACAGGACACACACACACACACACACACACACCTACAGGACACACACACACACACACACCACAGGACACACACACACACCTACAGGACACACACACACACACACCTACAGGACACACACACACACACACACACACACACACCTACAGGACACACACACACCTACAGGACACACACACACACCTACAGGACACACACACACACACACCTACAGACACACACACACACACACCACAGGACACACACACACACCTACAGGACACACACACACACACCTACAGGACACACACACACACACCTACAGGACACACACACACACACACCTACAGGACACACACACACACCTACAGGACACACACACACACACCTACAGGACCACACACACACACACACACCTACACACACACACACACACACACACACCTACAGGACACACACACACACACACACCTACAGGACACACAACACACACACCTACAGGACACACACACACACACACACACACACACCTACACACACACACACACACACCACAGGACACACACACACACACCTACAGGACACACACACACACCTACACACACACACACACACACCTACAGGACACACACACACACACACACTACAGACACACACACACACACACTACAGGACACACACACACTACAGGACACACACACACACACACACCTACAGGACACACACCTACAGGACACACACACACCTACAGGACCACACACACACACACACACCTACAGACACACACACACTACACACACACACACACACCTACAGGACACACACACACACACACACACACCACACACCTACACACACACACACACACACACACACACCACACACACACACACACCTACAGGACACACACACACCTACATTACACACACACACACACACACACCTACAGGTCACACACACACACAGGACACACACACCTACAGGACACACACACCTACAGGACACACACACACCTACACACCACACACACACACACACACACCTACAGGACACACACACACACAGGACACACACACACACACAGGACACACACACACACACACACACTACAGGACACACACACACACACACACACACCTCACACACACCACACACACAGGACACACACAACACACACACCTACAGGACACACACACACACACCTACACCTACACACACACACACCACACACACACCTACAGGACACACACACACACCTACAGGACACACACACACACACACACCTACAGGACACACACACACACACACCTACAGGACACACACACACACACACCTACAGGACACACACACACACACCACACCTACAGGACACACACACACACACACCTACAGGACACACACACACACACCTACACACACACACACACACACACACACCTACAGGACACACATACACACACCACACCTACAGGACACACAACACACACCTACACCACAGGACACACACACACACACACCTACACCTACAGGACACACACACACACACACACACACTACAGGACACACACACACACCTACACACACACACACACACACACCTACAGGACACACACACACACACACACCTACAGGACACACACACACACACACCACACCTACAGGACACACACACACACACACACACACCTACAGGACACACACACACACACACACACACCTACAGACACACACACACACCTACAGGACACACACACACACCTACAGGACACACACACACACACACACACACACACACCTACAGGACACACACACACACACCCCTACAGGACACACACACACACACACCTACAGGACACACACACACACACACCTACAGGACACACACACACACACACACACACACACACACCTACAGGACACACACACACACACACCTACACACACACACACACCACACACCCCTACAGGACACACACACACACACACCCCTATAGGACACCCCTATAGGACACACACACACACACACACCCCCCTGCAGGACACACCGTGTGAAAATGACTTAAAAGTTGTGAAATTATCTGTCCATGCAGCAAGTTAATTTTACTTGACAGGCGACTAGAACAGAACCAGTCAGTCTCAGAACTAGTAAGTCGATAATAAATCTGAAAACAACATGAATAACCTGATAGAAGTTTTAAAATGTGTGGACGCTGTGGGTGACGTCACACTCGCTTAGTCCACTTCTTCATACAGTCTGTGGTTTTGAGCCGATGTCCGTCACTGTTGGAATAAAAACAGAAAACACGGCTGTTGTCTGTAAACAGTTGTCAGGGCTATTATTTGTTTTTTTTATTTGTCCACATTTTTCTGTCAGAAGGCGAGGAGTCTGTAACTGTAAAATGACACAGGGCTCATGTGAGTGTGATTGACAGGAGGCGTTGCTGCTGCAGGGGGTTGTGGGTAATGAAGTCCAGCAGCTGAAGGAGAGCGAGGTGCAGCTGAAGCAGGCCCTGGACTCAGCCAACGACAGAGCGGAGGAACTGGAGACCCAACTGGCCCTCAAAGACCAACTGATCCTGGACCAGAAGAGACTCCTGGAGGACTGCAAGGCTCTGAGCAGGTCAGGGGAGAAGAAACCTGAGACCTGGGTTAGACCTGAGATAGACCTGGGTTAGACCTGGGTTAGACCTGGGTTAGACCTGGGTTCAGGATTTACCCCAAAAAATACACAAAGGAAAGACTGGAGACTTTATATTTATTTTTAGTTCTGGTTTAGTCTCGTTTCTCCTCAGGTCCTGCCTCTTGATTCCTGGTTTAGTCCTATTTTAGTCCTGGTTTAATCCTGTTTAATCCTGGTCTAGTCCTTCCTGGTTTAGTTTTAGTTTAGTCCTGGTTTAGTTTTAGTTTAGTCCTGGTTTAATCCTGTTTAATCCTGGTCTAGTCCTTCCTGGTTTAGTTTTAGTTTAGTCCTGGTTTAGTCCTGGCTTAGTCTTGGTTTTGTCCTGGTTTACTCCTTCCTAGTTTAGTCCTGGTTTAGACCTGTTGTAGTCCTGTTGTAGTCCTTGTTTAGTCCTGGTTTAGTTCTGTTGTAGTCCTGGTTTAGTCCTGGTTTAAACCTGTCGTAGCCCTGGTTTAGTCCTGTTGTAGTCCTGTTGTAGTTCTGGTTTACTCCTGGTTTAGTCCTGGTTTAGTCCTGGTTTAAACCTGTCGTAGCCCTGGTTTAGTCCTGTTTTAATCCTGGTTTAGACCTGTTGTAGTCCTTGTTTAGTCCTGGTTTAGACCTGGTTTAGTTCTGTTGTTAGTCCTGGTTTAGTCCTGGTTTAGTTCTGTTGTAGTCCTGGTTTAGTCCTAGTTTAGTCCTGGTTTAGACCTGGTTTAGACCTGTCATAGCCCTGGTTTAGTCCTGTTGTAGTCCTGTTTAGTCTTGGTTTAGTCCTGTTGTAGTCCTGGTTTAGTCTTGGTTTAGTCCTGTTGTAGTCCTGTTGTAGTCCTGGTTTGTCCTGTTTTAGTCCTGGTTTAGTCCTGGTTTAGTCCTGGTTTAGTCTTGGTTTAGTCCTGTTGTAGTCTTGTTTAGTCCTAGTTTAGTCCTGGTTTAGACCTGTTTAGTCCCCTGGTTTAGTCCTGTTGTAGTCCTGTTTAGTCCTGGTTTAGTCTTGGTTTAGTTTAGTCCTGGTTTAGTCCTGGTTTAGTCCTGGTTTAATCCCGTTTCTCGTCAGGTCCCAGCTGTCTGCGTCTGAGTCTCGGTGTGTGGCTCTCAGGTGCATCACTCAGAGCCTCCAGACCGAGCTCCTTCACCTCTACAGCCAGATCCAGCTCCGGTCCAAAGAGGGCCAAGACCAGGATCACAACCAGGACTGGGCCTACAGCAGGTCCGTGTGCTCATGGTCTCAAAAGAGAGAAATGTTTGGATATTTTAGTTTCAACATTATCTGTGTGTCTCCGCAGGCCCCGCCCCTCGGCATCTGTCAACATCGCCAACAACGCCAAACTGCAGCCGCTGTACTCGCCGCCCATCGAGTCGCCGCTCACCGTCGGCTCCTTCCTCGAACGGGAAGCACGGCGACTGTTCGGACCGGCCAATCAGAGCCCGGAGACGGAAGAAGCAACCGATCACAGCCCGGGGGAGGTGCAGAGCCGCGTCGAGTTCGAGTCCGAAGTAGCCAATCGGAGCGCGGCGTCCGAGGGAGCGGCCAATGACGATCCAGAGGGGGCGGGACAAAGGGAGCGGGACGTAAAACCGGAGCAGCGAGCGCTTTCCGGCGTAGAGTCAGAGCCGGCGGCCAATCGCAGCTCAGAGGAGGCGGCGCTGGAGGAGGAGGCGGAGGAAGTGCAGGAGGAAATGCTTCTGACCTCGAGTCCCCCAAACCAGCCTCAGAACTGGGCCGGCGTCGGTCGGAACAGCAGACCGGGACCCGCCCACGGAGACCTCACGCTGGCCGTACGACAGCGCCGACTGGAGCTCAGCCTCATGGACTACAACGAGACCGGACCGGACTCCTGACCGGGATCCGGGTCTAGATCAGGAGGTCCAAAGGGATCGTGAACTACACCGCTGACGTGAAACTGGACTGAGCCGGGTCTGATCTAGGACTCCATCAGGTCTAAAGGAAGGAGATCCAGGACTAAAACAGGACTCAGGTCTCAACGACGGCTCAACCAAGTCTAAACATTGACAACACTAGGAATATACGCATCAAGAATCTCGGACGTCAGGTCATCGCGCAATCCATACTGAGAAGGATTTTCCGAAAAAGTGAACATCAAACCTCCATGTTTGTTTTCCCAGTGGGATGTGTCTATTGACAAAGTCGATCTTTTCAAGTCTTTTGAACCACATGACTTTTGTTTCTGATTCTGATATTGTCATATTTTAGTTTTGGGATTTGGACATCGTAATTGTGTGGTTGTTGGATCCTAACAGCGGAAAACGGCTCGAGAAATGTGTTTGCGAACTCCATAAATGCAAAAGTGAATCAGATGTGTGTGACTCAAACCTCCGTTCAAACTGTTTCTCTTCCCAACGGATTTGAAAAATAGTGAAAGGTGAAGGTGATGGGCAGGATTGATCCACAGGAAGAACCAAAAAGGAAACATTTGTCTGACTAAGAAATCATCCCGAGTTTACAGAGAACATTTTGTATGTGGAGCGACGACAAAACAAAATCCAGATCCCAAGAAAAAGTCAACACCAAAGTGAAAGGCTCCAACTGTTCACCAAGAAACACCTTCCACTGCAAAGAGACCAAGACGTGATGTTTCTGTAAAACCACAAGAACAAGAAAGTGCAGCTCAGTCTGTTTGTCTTCTGCTCCTCTACATTAACAAACAGGATTTTGTTTTGTCAAATGTTTTCTTTTTGGTTCTTCCTGTGGATCAATCCTGCCCATCACCTTCACCTTTCACTATTTTTCAATTCCGTTGGGAAGAGAAACAGTTTGAACGGAGGTTTGAGTCACACACATCTGATTCACTTTTGCATTTATGGAGTTCACAAACACATTTCTCGAGCCGTTTTCCGCTGTTAGGATCCAACAACCACACAATTACAATGTCCAAATCCCAAAACTAAAATATGACAATATCAGAACCAGAAACAAGTGATTATGGTTCAAAAGACTTGAAAAGATCGACTTTGACAATAGACACATCCCACTGGGAAAACAAACATGGAGGTTTGATGTTCACTTTTTCAGAAAATCCTTCTCAGTATGAATTGCGCGATGACCTGAAGTCCGAGATTCTTGATGCGTCTATAGACTGCAAAAAAGCTTGGCCAAAATTCAAGATATAAACACTTAAAACTATCAGAAAATGACTTAAAAGTAAAGAAATTATCTGTCCATTACTTGACAAGTTATCTTAAAATAAACTACCTCTAGACTAGAATTAAACATTTAAGAAACTCGAAAACAACATGAAAAACCTGACGCAAGTTTTAAAATCTTGGCCAGATCAGAGAAATTTGCAGTGTCTAAACCTGGACTAGACCAGATTTAAACCGGGACTAACTAAACCTGCTGCTAAGTTACGTGAAAAGTGCCTTAAACTCCTCTTTTTTTTTTGTCTTTAAACGAACCAGGTATTTCAAACAACAGCGCGACTTTATGACGGACTGCGTTACGTAACATTTCCTCGTGCCCTCGGGTTCACGTGGACGCGCCTTCGACTCCGTTTGAAGCGAAGGCGCCGCACGGAAGCCCACGAACATTCTCGAAAAACACATTCTAGTCCGGGTCTGATTATGATGAAGGGACGACGCTCTAGCTTTGTTTTAATCGTAAAACAATTTGCACAAAATGTCTCTTAGCGAGGACGTAATCAGGGATCATTTAAGCTCACGTTAAACTGACATTTCTTTTGTCCACCTAGAACAAAAAGGGAACGATAACAGAGCAATTAATCACAGAAAATATCTCACAAAAATCTACAATCGGAAACGGAACCTTATTGTTATTTGGTGGTAATTTGTTGGGTTTTTTTGTCTCTATTTTTTGCCAAAATCCAGTTCGTTTTGGATGTTTACACCGCTGTTTACCACCGCTCACTGTGTCCCGCTTTCTCTTCCCACATGTGAAACTGTGAAAATAAAATAAAAAGAACTCTGCTCGAGCTCGTGTCTGTGGTGATTTACATGTTTTTATTATTTGTGAAAAAAAAAAAAAAACACTAGAATGAGGGAAGAGGAAGAAGCTGAAGTCCTCCTCAGATGAAGAAGATACCATTTATAAATAGTATAAATATTGATAAGTATCTTAATAGTAGCAAAGGAGAAATTTGTCAACTGGACAAAAGTTTATTTGGAATGAATACGTTTGGCCGCTCGTCCAAGCTGAACTGAAGAAGCAGCAGGGAAAACGAATCCAACCAAATAAACTTTTGTCCAGTTGACAAATTGAATTTCTCCTTTGCCCTGGATTGTACTTGGACTGAGGGATTTTACTACGTAGGGCTGGGTACCATTTAGAAGTTGCCGATACGATACATACCTCAATACAGTGGACTTTTGATTCGATACAATATATTTTAAGTCGATTCCGTGTGGTAAAATAAAAATTATTGCAAAGTGATGGATGTGATACTAAAAGTCTTTGTTAAACCACTTCTTGTCAAAGTTCATATGAAACACAAACATTTTAAGCCTCAAAATAGTAAATATGTCAAATGTGTCATAAAACAGTTTCCTTCCTCTAAACAAGCAACAAAACTGTAGCTCTGTA